GCCTGTTCCCAGGGTCACGGTGTGGGCAGAGGCAGCAGCAGGGACACTGCCCTCAGCCACTGGTCCCCTGCCTGACACAAGGAACACGTTAACAAAGGCCTCTGCCTGCCTGCAGCTGCTGCCAGCCCCCCAGCGATGTTCGTGCTGAGCCCCATGGGCTGGGGAGGAGCTGGGGTGTGCAGGAGCCTCGGCTTTAGGGTTTGCTCATTTGGGGTCTCACAGAGCGGGCTCTGGGGGTCTGCGCGCTCAGCACAAGGGGCGATGGGGGCTCCTTCTCTCCCCTCACCCCTGGGTGTGGGTGCCCCTGGTCACGGTGATGGGGAGGGCTGCCGGTGGCCTCGCAGTGCTGCGGCTGTGCCGGTGCGAGGTGAGCGCTGCGCGGTGCCAAGCCTGCCCGGGCTTGTCCATGAACTTTTATCCTTTTGCTGTGGGGTCTGTGTGCAGGAGGGAGGGAGGGGGGCTGGATCCCTCCAGGCCTCCTGCACGGGAAGGTGGGATGGAGCTGGGATGCAGCCAGACCCCCCCCACCTGGGGTCTGTTGTCCCACCAGTGTCCCCAGCACCGCAGGGGATCATCCTGTTGGGTGCTGGTAGTGCCCTGCTGTGGGTCTCCATAGGGAACGCTCTATGCTGCTGACCCCCTTGTGAGCAGATGCTGGTGGCCATGCCCTGAATCCCTGGTGGCTCAGCGGGATGCTGTGGCAATAGCATCGCAAAGGGCGATGCTGGACCCAGAGATCCACAGAGGTCATGGAGGTCAGGAGTGGCTGGGGCAACGCTTTTGGGGCTGAGCACACTGGGGGAGAGGAATACCCCATTCCCCCTGTCTTGGTGGCATGGGACAAAGATGGGGAGAGGGAGCTCCCCATACCCGGGGGCTTTGTGGGGCTGACGGGCACCTCTTCCTGTGTGGTGGCCCTGCAGCCCTCAACAGTGATGTCCCCGTGCTCCCATTGCTCTCCCCTGCACTGATCCCTATCGTGGCTGGTTCTGCTGGTCCCGGCAGCACCCTGCTCCTGAGCTCGGCACCCGCACCCAGCCCCAGCGGGTGCCCCCCGGCCGCTCCGACCACAGACCCTGCCTCCACGCTATTTCCTTCCCACCACCCAGCAGAAAACACCCTGGCTGCAGCAGCCTCCCCCGTGCAACCTCCCCTTTGCTTCTGCAGGGGTTAAAGAGTCTTCCTGTGGCTTTCCCTCAGCAGCTCTCCCTGACCTGCACAACGGTCTGCGTCGCACCCCCACACATGGTGCCAGGGCCAAGCACTGTGATCCTATGGGAACACCATCCCCTGGCACAGCCTTGGCCTTGCAGGGAGATAAGGGCTTCCCTGGCAGCATCCTCCCCTGCCTGTTGCGGGCACCCATCCTGCAACGACTGCGGGACCTTGCAAGGGTGCAGCCCCCGTCCAGCACCCACTAAAAGCTTTGGGCTGGAGCACGGTACCCCACAAAGGCATGGGATGAGCGAGCTGGACCTAGGGGGGGGTCCCCCTGGTGTGACTGACAGCCAGTATCCCTGCTTATGGGGACAAGCATCCCCATGGCGGGGCAAGCATCCCCATGGGAGGCGAGCATCCCCACCCCAGGTCACTGGTGCTGGGGTCCCCAAGCCCCGCAGAGGTGCCTGCAGCACGGGAGGGGGTTTGTCCCCCCAGCGCCTGGGGAGCAGCCGAAGGCAGGAGCTGGTGGCATGTTTCCCAGCAGGTCCGGTCACCTCCCTGCCCGGAGCAGGTCTGGCCGGTGGTCCCCCCGCAGCCCGTCCAGCCACACCAGTTTCCTAATTGCTGCTGGTGCTGGTGTTTTGTAAGGGCAGGGTGGAGCGCGGCCCTGGCCGTGCCTTGCGTCAGCGCAGCGCCTTGCACACTCCCTCCAGGAAATCCAGTGTCCCAGCCCAGCCGAGAGCAGGTTCCGTGGAAGAGGAGGAGGAGGAGGAGGAGGAGGAGGAGGAGCTGCTTCCTCGCACCTTGGCAGGAACCCCGGCATCACGCTCCCTCCTCTCCTGGCTTCCCTGCAAACGCTGGGCTGGGCTTTTCCTGCTGGGGAGGGGGGGAACAGTGCAATGGGAAGGGGCTGGGGGACGTGAGCTGGAGCCCTGCCTGTGCCTGCAGCATCTGGCACAGAGACCATGACCCAGGGCACTGGTCATGCTGCTTGATCCAGGATCCTGCCTACATTGGTGCAACCAGCCCCATAGCTTTGTCCATGGCCCTATAGCTTTGCCTTTGGTCCTGTAGCTTTGCTATAAAAGCACCCTTCAGCTGGGAAGGACAGGGGGTCTGGTGGGTCCCCCCGGCAAAGCAAAGTGACCCCCAGCATCAGCTTTTGGGGTTTTCCCCTCTTGTGGTGCCGTGGGGTACTGGGATGTTGGGGGGTCCTGGGCTGGTGCAGGGCTGTGGGGCCCATGGGCTCTGAGGGCTGCAGGGTCTTGGGCTGCTGTGGTGCAGCTGCGGGATCTCTGGTTCCCCTGTTTGGGGTCCCGGTCTTCTGGGTGTTCTTGGGCTGCCACAGTGGAGCCAGGGCTCCGCACCCAGCGAGGCAGTTGTAGGTGCCACACTGGGATGGAGCCCTACTGCAGGGGGGGACCCACTGGGGCCATCTCCATGTGCTACCTGCATCATCCCTGCCTGGCACCTGGTGTCCCCTTATCCTTCTATATCCTGGACAGTCCACTCTGTTTGGGCAGCACATCCCTCTGGAGGGCTGCCCTGTGGAGCAGCGTGGCAGCAGGCACAGGATGCTGTGGGATTTGAGGTGCTGTTGGTGTGCTATGGGACTTGGGATAGTACTCGGGATTTTGTGGGACTTGGGGTGTTGTGGGACTTGATGTGCCACAGGACTCAGTGTGCCATGGGATTTGGGGTGTCGTGAAAGTTGGAGTGCCACGGGACTCATGGTGCCACAGAACTTGGTGTGCCATGGGACTTGGTGTGCTGTGGGACTTGGGATAACGACTGGGATACTGGGATGCTGCGGGACGTGGGATAATGATCAGGATGCTGTGTGACCTGGGATAATGGCAGCGGTGCTGAGGGACTTGGGATAATGATCGGGATGCTGTGTGACCTGGGATAATGGTGGGGATGCTGAGGGACTTGGGATAATGATCGGGATGCTGTGTGACCTGGGATAACGGCAGGGGTGCTGAGGGACTTGGGATAATGATCGGGATGCTGTGTGACCTGGGATAACGGCAGGGGTGCTGAGGGACTTGGGATAATGATCGGGATGCTGTGTGACCTGGGATAACGGCGGGGGTGCTGAGGGACTTGGGATAATAATCGGGATGCTGTGTGACCTGGGATAACGGCGGGGGTGCTGAGGGACTTGGGATAATGATCGGGATGCTGTGTGACCTGGGATAATGGCAGCGGTGCTGAGGGACTTGGGATAATGATCGGGATGCTGTGTGACCTGGGATAACGGCAGGGGTGCTGAGGGACTTGGGATAATGATCGGGATGCTGTGTGACCTGGGATAACGGCGGGGGTGCTGAGGGACTTGGGATAATGATCGGGATGCTGTGTGACCTGGGATAACGGCGGGGGTGCTGAGGGACTTGGGATAATGATCAGGATGCTGTGTGACCTGGGATAACGGCGGGAATGCTGAGGGACTCGGGGTAACGTGGGACTCATCGTGCCACAGGGGCCGGGGCGCGGCGGGACTCGGGTGCCCCGGGCCCATCCGGCACCGCCGCCGCCATCGCCGCCTTGGCCGCCCGGCTCGGTCCTACCATCCAGTTCTCCTTATTTGGCCACAGTGCTCGGCAAGAGGGGGAGCAGCGGGCGGGGGGACCAGGGCGGAGCTGACATCGCATCAGGACGAGGGAAAGAAGGATGGGGACGGGATGGGGACGGGATTGGACGGGATTGAGGGGGGGGATTTCTTGTTTTATAAAAGGAGAAAAGAGAGAAAAGAAAAAGGGAGAGGAGAGGAGAGGAGAGGAGAGGAGAGGAGAGGAGAGGAGAGGAGAGGAGAGGAGAGGAGAGGAGAGGAGAGGAGAGGAGAGGAGAGGAGAGGAGAGGAGAGGAGAGGAGAGGAGAGGAGAGGAGAGGAGAGGAGAGGAAAGAGGAGGAGAGGAGAGAGAGAGGAAAGAGGAGAGAGAGAGGAAAGAGGAGGAGAGGAGAGAGAGAGGAAAGAGGAGGAGAGGAGAGGAGAGGAGGAGAGGAGAGGAGAGGAGAGGAGGAGAGGAGAGAGGAGAAGGGCTCCGGGCGCTGGAGCCAGCGGCGGCTCAGTTCCTTTAAAAGGAGATGTCTGCGCCGGAGACCTTTGTACACTCCCAGCCCGTCCGGGAAGCGCGGCGCAGGAGACACCTCTCCGCTCCCACCGCCGGCAGCTGCCGCCAAACATGTTATTGCAAAACACTGCGCGGGGAGCCGGGCAAGGGGAGGAGGAGGAGGAGGAGGAGGAGGAGGAGGAGGGCTGAAGGCTCCCCAGCATCACCGCGGAGCGCCCAGGCCGAGCATCCTCAGGGCCGGGGGCCTCTCCCGGTGCCAGGGGTAGGGCTCTGGCACATGGTTCCCATTAGCGGGGTCTGGCTTGGAGTACCCAATGTCTCCCTTCACATCCCAGCTCTGCCTTTGCCAGCAGAGTGGAGGGTTTGGGGCTGGGGGCAGTTTTGGAGTGGGTGCGGGTGCTGGTGTGGGGCTGGGGCTCACAGGCAATGGGGCTGCTGCTGCCCTGTCCTGGGGTGTCACCCATGGGCTCCATGTGCCCAAGCTCCTCATGGATAATGCAGCATCTGGGCTGTTTGTTCCCAGACTTTTCAGTTTGACCCTGGGTGATCACTGGTGGTTTGGATTTGGGAGTACTCATGGAAATCATGGCTCTGCCCCCAGGGGAAAGCCTGTTTGTGGGTGTGATGCCCTGCACCAGGATGCTGCTCCCAGCTGTGGGTCCAAGAGGGGACAGGGCCAGTGCTAGGAAATGACCTTGATCCATGCTGTCACTGCAGCTCTAGTGAGGGTCTCTGGGTCTGACTGGTGTCTGTGTCCTGCAGGTTGTCGTGTGTCCGTGGGGGCTCGGGATCGGAGCCCAGAGCAGCCAGCACCATAGCGTCCAACAGCTGGAACGCCAGTGGCAGCCCCGGGGAGGGGCGGGAAGATGGCCAGGACAGCATGGACAAGAGTCTGGACAATGATGCCGAGGGTGTGTGGAGTCCGGACATCGAGCAGAGCTTCCAGGAGGCGCTGGCGATCTACCCCCCCTGCGGCCGGCGGAAAATCATCCTCTCGGATGAGGGCAAGATGTACGGTGAGTGATGGCGGTGAAGCAAAACCTCCTGCCCCAAACCCACACTGGGGCATCACCTTCAAGCACCCCCCAACAGCAGAAGCAGCTTCCCTGGGTACATCCCGGAGCTGGACCAGGGAGGTGGCAGTGACCCGCATCCCCTCCCTCTGCCTGGCTCTCTCTCCCGCTCCCTCCCTCTCTCGGCCCTGCCGGAACGACTGGTTTGGTGAAGCCGTGGGGCAGGGAGCGGGTGCGGGACTGCGGGGCCAGCACCAACCCTCCCGTTCCCGCGCGCCTCCGCATCGCTCCCAACCCTTCCCAACCGGACCTGGGGGTGGGCAGCACCCACTCTCTGTGGTGAGAGCCAGCAACCCACCCCGAGCCACCTGCGCCTGGCTCAGCTGTCGGTGGCTTTGCTGGCAGCAGCAGGGCTGGTTGGCCCCACTGGTGCAGTGAGTTTGGGAGTGCTCTCAGCCTAGTTTCTGGTGTCTCCCAGAACACTTCCGTCTTGGCAGCTCTGTGCGATGGGGAGGAAGAGGATGAGGATGGGTGATGTGGACAGGAGGTGATGCTGGCACGGGGTGTATGGTGTCACCAAAGAGCAGGGGAAGGTGCCGTGGTGTCCCTGTCCCTCCTCCCCTCCACCTCCCATGTTGTCACCCCCAGGGCTGGTGACCTCGGGGACGGCTCACCATGTCACCACCACCCTGCAGTGCCAAAGCCCGGCACCTCCGTTCCCAGCCTCCAGAATCCACCCATCCAGGATGTCACTGGCCATGGCTCACAGAGAAGGGCAAGGGGATGAGGCTTTGCGGTGATCACCGTGCCGCTGTCCCCATCCCCACGCCAGCTCCCTGTGCCACCCTGCTCGCTGGGGCCCCCAGGCCGGGGTGGGGGGGTAGCAGAGGGCTTCCCAAGCGGGTGCATTTTTTGGATTTCTCCGGGAATAGCTGAAGTGCCGCCGGGAGCCGGGCCCTAGCGCCGAGCCCCGACCGGTTTTTCCAGCCTTTCGGAGACATCTGGCAGCTGCTTCAAGAGGCAGCGGCCCCCCCGGGCAGATCCCTTTCATCTCCCCCTACCCTCCCCAGCACCTCCCCACCAGGACCCCCAGCCAGTGGTGCTGGGCTTACTGGGGACCCCAAGAGGCACCGGTGGCACCGGCGATGCCAGCATCCAACATAAAGGTGCTTTGGTGCCGCTGCTTTCCACCATTCACCTCTTCTGGGGTGTCGCACGGGATGCCCATGGCCACAGCAGCCTGTGCCCCACTGATGCCAGCAAGCAGGTGGGAGCTGGGGGGCTGGGACTGGCCCCTGCTCTCCCCTCGCTGCCCGCCGGGTTATTTTTAACCCAGCCCGTCCAACCGGTTCACGTGGTGGTGTCAGGGGAGAGGAATTTGGGGAATGTGGTAATTTGGAGGAGGACGTGCCCTCTCGGAGGGAATGGCACGAGCCCCGGTGAATCACGGGGGACAGGGACCGGCCTGGGTGAATCACGGGGACAGGGATGGTACAGCCCGGGGTGGTGGCTGGGGCGAGGTGCGAGGCAGGATGGGTGCAGGAGGTGCTGGCTGCTGCCCACAGGAAGGCACCCACATTTATTTCCCTTGTTTATTTATTTCCCATATTTGTGTCCCATATTTTCCTTGGTCTGGGTAAGGAGAGGAAGAGACTGGGGAGCTGATGTGACCTGGGAGCTGCTGCAGCGCTGGGTACCCCCAGGCTGGGGCTCAGCACTGGATCCCCTCCACCCGCACCCCACAGCAGGCATCATCTCCCTCAGCTTTGGAGGACACCCATGTGGCCTTTCCCTTTGTTAGGCACCAGTGAGGCCAGGGCGCAGGCTGGGAATGGCAGGAGCAATGGGAGCTGTGCTCAGTGCTTCAGGGTGCCACTGGGATGCGCCCCATTGCCAGCACCCATCTCGAGCACAGCGCAGCCATCCCTATGGCACCTGGCCCTGTCTGTCCCTCTGTGTGTCCCTCCTCCTCCAGGAAGTCCCAGTTGCTCCAGGGCCGGTTGTGCTGGAAGGGAAGGACTGGGGGGGGGGGGTGATCACAGCTCTACGTTTGAAGGGATGTATTTTTCTCAAGCCCAAACCCGCTCCAAGGGCATTTCGACAAGTTCCAACCGCGACCATCTGGTCCATGAAGCTCCATGTGGCGTTCCCGGCCGCCCCCGAGCGCGGGGGGCACGGCGGGGGGGGGGGGGCCGCGGCCGGCACAAGAAAGCTCCCGGCTGCTCTGACGTTGGAGCAGAGATTGGCCACAGCTGGCCCCCAAAATGTGGTGCAAAAGCAACTTCTGCTTCGAATTAGACCCGGGACGTTAGGAAATAGTGGTGGAAAGGCCAGCGCCAGCTTGCGAACGGGAAGCAGGGAGCCGGGGGGGGACCCCAGGCTCCTGGTGGGAAGGGGTGCGGGGAGCGGGTTCATGGGGTCCTCCCAGGGTGCTCTCTGGGCGTTGAGGGGTGTTTGGGGACAGGGCTGTGGTGGGGTCCCTGGGGGGCCGCTGTCACCCCCCTTGAGCCCCCTTGTGTTTGGGGGCTGCCAGACCCAGTGGGTGCCGCTGGCCTGGAGGGGTCCGGCCACCCCACGTCCCCGAGGGTCACCACATCATCCCATCGAGCCACCCCAATGTCCCCTCGGGCCAGAGAGCTGTCGTGGCAGCGCCATCTCCTGGCAGTGCCTCCTTCGGTAAGGACTTGCCTCATTGAAGGAGCAGCCTCATCAAGGACCAGCATCTTCAGGCTGGGTTGGGGGGTGCTGGTGCCCCTGCCCCCCGTTTCCCCCGGGCTGACCCTTGGCTCTGCTGGCAGGTCGTAACGAACTGATAGCCCGGTACATCAAGCTGCGGACGGGGAAGACGCGGACGAGGAAGCAGGTGAGGGCATCGCTGTGCTTCTGCTCGTGGGGGGACTCTGGGGTGCAGGGGGGGTCAGGTAAGCCTGGGAGTGAGTGGGTGCCCGGCTGCATCACCCGTCCTCTGTGTCCCCTCCTGGAGCCACCGTTGCTGCCAGCAGGACCCTTGTCCTCCGCAAGGAGCTTTGCTTTCAAGCACAAACACCCTCAGGATGGTCGGTGCCAGCCTGATCTCTGGGTGCCCTGAAGTCTGGGGTGTGGGGCAGGCAGCACCCAGCCCCCCCCGGCTGTGCTGGGGTCACCCATGGGGGCAGGAGCCTTGGAATCTCCATCCGAGCAGTGTGTGCATCCACGTGCATCCATGCATCCCTTTGCTGCTCCACCTGGATCTGGAGACCGTTCCCACCTCTGGCCCTTTGAATCATGGAATCAGCCGGGCTGGGAAAGCCCTTTAATCCCATCCAGTCCAACCCTTACCCCAGCCCTGCCAAGGCCACCCCTAACCCATGGCACTGAGGCCTCGTCTCCACGCTGTGTGAACACTTGCAGGGACGGTGCCTGCAGCCCTGCCCTGGGCAGCCTGTTCCAATGCCTGAGCACCCTCTGGGGCAGGAATTGTTCCTCAGCTCCATCTAAACCTGCCCTGGTTCAGATTCAGGCTTTATGCTGATTGTGCCAGATGCCCCAATGAAGGCACCCCCAGAGCCCCCAGGCTGATCCCAAGGTGTCCCCATGTGGCCAGGGACAGGCTGTGCAGGTCCTGGGGACCTGGGAGTCCTACAGAGCCCTTGCCCCAGCCTCGCTGCCCTGCAGGGATTGGTGCTGAGGCAAACGGATGCCAGCAGGGCAGGGAGCATGCAGTGGTCCTCCATTGCCTGTGTGAGCAGGGTCACATCCATCCCAGCAGCTTCACCCTTCTGCCAGGGATCAGACCTGGGTGAGGACATGCTGCCCTTGATGGGATGTCTCTGTTTGTCACACATCTGGTGGCTTTTCCCTCCCCTCTGTGGTGGTCCCCAGCCAGGAGCTGGTGACCCATGGTGCTGGGAGTGGGTTCGTCTCCCACTGCAGGGGACTGATGGGTTTGGAGCATGGGGACACTTGTGTTGGGACTGTCCCATGCCACAGATCCCTTCAAGGGAGGGACTCTGGTCCCCAGGCACTGGCTGGGGGACATCCCTCCAGGACTGATGCCAGAGGGAGAGGGACCAGGGTTCAGCCACTGTCCCTGTGTTCAGACCAGCGCTGAGAGGTGCTTTATTTCTGGCTTAAAGCCTCAACTGCTCCCTGGATCCCTTCTCCATGTGGGGAAGGATGCAGTGCTGGGTGACAGCAGTGCCTCAGGGGGGAGTGCATGTGGCACTGTCCCCTCTGTGCAGTCGTGTCCTGCACAGCCTCTTGTCCAGCTTGGTGCTGGTGGGTGAAGTATCTTGCCTGTTCCCTTCCTGCCTCTACATCAGCCTCTTTGCTTCGGATCCTGCCCTTAGAAGGGTCCAGACACCAAAACCTCTCAACACTTCTCTCCTTTCCCACCTGCAAAATTAGCAGGAGCCTGAGGGGAATGAGCTGGTCCCTCCTGGAGCTCCCTTGGGACCTGCAGACCCGCTGCAGGATAATCCAGGCGCCCCCCAAACCAGCCGGTTTGTACCCTCCGCACTGCAAGCAGCAGCTCATTGCACTCACAGGGGCTGGGGGTTCTGTCTGGGAAGCCCCAAGACATGGTAAACATGGACCCCCCCATCTGCATCAGCTTCACTCCGAGGAGCTTCACCCCAGACAGGGGGGCACAAACCAGCATCAATCAGTGCAGCAGCACCAGAGCCCCCCAGTTTTCCTCTCTCCAGCGCGTGGCAGGCACAGGACCCTCTGCATCTCCAGGAGCATCACCCCCTGCGCTGCTCCCCTTGTCCATGCTCCCTTCCCCAGGAACAGCATCCCACCTCGCAGGGATGAACAGATCTTCACGCTCTCTGTGTTTTCCTTTCCGAACGGCGTGGCGGGCGCTAGGTGTCCAGCCACATACAGGTTCTAGCTCGGAAGAAGGTGCGGGAGTACCAGGTTGGCATCAAGGTACGTTGGTGCCCGTGCCCAGGTGTCCGCGGCGGTGTCTCTGTGAGCATGGGCAGCCCCTTTTTCCTCCTTCCTCCTTTCCTCTGGTTGACGGCTCTGCTGTTCCCCCTCTCCTGCTCTCTCTCTGCAGGTCTCTAGCCACTTGCAGGTTCTTGCCCGGCGGAAATCTCGTGAGATTCAGTCCAAGCTGAAGGTACGCGCCCACCGCCGCGCCTGCTGACCACTAACGCCCTCGGCTCTGCGGTGTGCCGCTTGCTTTCCTTCACTGCCTCTGGTTTGGTGGTTTTGGTTTTCCTTCCCCCTCCCTCGGCTTCTGAGACCAGATGGGTTTTTAGAGGCATCACTGCAGAGGCACAGAGCAGTGCAAGGATGGGAGGGGGGCAGAGCCCTTCCTTCTCCCCCAGAAGTGTGAATGTGGGTGCCAAATCCCCTCCTGTCGCCCAAGCGAGGACTCTGCTCTGCGGAAATGGGGGTTTAAACCTCCATGGGGCTGCACCCCTCTTTTGGGCTATCAGGGGTTCTCCCAGGAAGGGTAGGACCCCCTCACCAAGGGCAGCCAGCAAGACAGTGAGGGTCAGACAAGGGGTGCAAAGGGCTGTCCCCTGCAAGCTGAGACCTGGCCCTGCTGGGGACGGGTGCTGGTGCGATATGGGCAGAAGCAAGGGGGGGCCTCGGGTCCATGCAGGCTGCCAGCTCAGACTTCTGATGCACGAGGGTCTGAGTATGGCCAAGGTGGCAGCTCAGGGATGAGGACAGCAGTGGGTCCCGATGGGGCCGTGCTACTGTGGAGGGGACACAGGGGTCCCAGGAAGGAGAAATGGGGTGCCAGGGCAGCCCGTGATTCCAGGAGCCAAGGGAGCCGAATGAGGAAAAACTGGATCATCCTCTCTTCTCTGGTTCGCTTTTCTTTCCTTCCTTCCTCCTAACTGGAGCCCAACTAACCCTTCCGTAACTGGTCCCACTGTGCTTCGTGGCGGTGGTGGGGAGGATGATGATGGGGGCACGGGCAGGACTGGGGGCATTGACAAAGGACCGAGCCCTGCTCAGATTGGACCCACATGGTGCAAGGTGGGGAACAGAGCGGTCCCCACTGCACCACCACCCATTGAGGGCAGCAGCTCCAGGCTGGGCTGTGCACACTGGGATGCTCCCAGGTTAATCCCAGCACTGTCACACCAGTGATGGGCAGGATCCAGGGGGGACGCCTGCTGCCTTGCCGAGGAGCCCAGAAAAGCTTCCAGCTCCCTGCCATGACCTCCAGGTCCCAAAGGCATCATCCGCTCCCTGTGTCCCTGTCCTGGATGCTGTATCCAGGTGTCCAGCACTGAGGCTGGCAGTGGGGCCACTGTCAGAGCTGGCACTCGCATTGTGGCATCCAAAGCTTTAAGAAGCTCTGGCTCACCCTGCCCAGGAGCCCACCAAGCCATAACCTCCACATCCCTTCAGCGGGGACCCTGGTGCCCCATGAGTGGGGTGCCAGGAGCGCTCCCACCCCCTGTGGGTTTGGTCTGTGGGGGAAGCTAGGAGAAGGCACCTGAAACTATTCTGGGAGGCTCCTCTGGGCTCGTGCACCTTAAACACAGCTCCCAGCCCCAAATCAAATAGATAAAAATCACTTTCCTTGTTGCAGAGCCCAGGGCAAGGGGGGAGAGTCAAGAGGCAGGAATGACCCCAGGAGCCTGGGGATGGAGGCCAGTGTCCATGGCTGCGCTCTCCATCCCTGGCCATGCTGCTGCAGGAATCCAGCAGGGAACAACCAGGGCAGGGATCCCTTTAAACAATACACTGGATGCAAAACGTCTTTCCCAGCCATACTGGGAGGCGAAGCCAGGCGTGGGCACCCCTCTGCCCTCACCCAGTGCCTGTCCTATTGAATGGAAACTCCCTCCCGTGAGCAACAGGAGTATTTTAAGCTGCAGTCATGCACGTGTTAGTGCTGCATGTGGCTGCATGCCCCTGCTCCTGCGCTGCCCCAGGTGGAAACAGATGAAGTGATTGATCCCTGAGGAAGGTTCAGAGGGAAACCAGGCTGTGCAGTGGGACCAGCACCATGTGTCCTGGTGATGTGGCTGGAGGAGCAGCCCTACCGTGAGCCAAGACCTCGGAGCCCTCCGCTCCTGCCCAGCAAAAGGCAAAGGGAATAAGAATTGGTCTCCCATAGGAATGCACACACAGCACAGATGGGTTGTGCCCAGGGCCTTCCTTGTGGTGCTGTAGGGAATTTGGTGCTGACATCCCTGGGCAGGACAGGAGCTGGGCAGGACAGGAGCTGGTGGCTCTTCCTGTCCGTGCCCTGGCTGCAAGCGTTGGGGTTTGCTGAGGAGGTCGTGAAGGGGGTTAAAGGTTGCACAGGGTTTGACAAAGCCAACAGAGACACTGGCTGGCAATCCCCCACAATAGTGGGGAGGCTTTGGTGTCCCATTCTGGGGGGGATTAAGCCCAGGCATCACTGCCCACCAGGTCAAGGGGTTCAGTCCCCAGGCCAGGCTGTGTTGATGAGCTGCGGGGGGGGATACCCCACTGGGGGTGCACACCGTGCCCACAGGCTCCCACGAGGCTCTAACCTTTGTTTTTTCCTTTCTTTTGTGGACAGGCCATGAACTTGGTAAGTTGAGCTTGGGTTTGTGATGCCTTTTGTTCCCATTGCTTTTGCCTGCTCCTGTGGAGGGGCTCAATCCTCTGCATCCCCGGGGCGGGGGCGATACCTTCCAGCCCCAGCGGCTCTTGCCCAGGGCACATTTGCAAGCTTCAAGCATTTGCTTTTGGGGTGGGGGGGGCATCCACTTGCCCTGGTCCTTTGGCCGGGCTGCATGACCAGCTCCAAGCTTTTGTACACTCAGATTGGGGGGGTCTCAGTTTGCCCCTGTAACTCCCATCTCCCTCCTGTCCCCCCCAGGACCAGGTCTCGAAGGATAAGGCTCTGCAGAGCATGGCTTCCATGTCCTCCGCGCAGATCGTGTCAGCCAGCGTCCTGCAGAACAAGCTCAGCCCCCCTCCTCCTCTTCCTCAGGCTGTCTTCTCCGCTGCCCCCAGGGTGAGGACAGCCCCACGCCCCCATACAGGGACACCCTGGGCTGGGGGGGGACACAGATCCTGCACAGGGGACAAGGGGATGGTGGCCGATGGCCACCCTCAGCCCTGGGGGCAATGCAAGGGGGGATATGGGGACTCAAGGCAGTTGGAAGCAGGCAAGGAGGGGAATTTGGGGGGGTCACAAGCCGCTGACTGTTCCCTGTGCTGTTCTCCCAGTTTTGGAGTGGGCCTATCCCAGGACAGCCTGGACCCTCTCAGGAGTAAGTATGAGGCCCCTCCACTGCCCAGTGCTGGGCAAGACCCCCCCTTGGTGAGGGGCTGGGGTAACCCAGGCTTCGTTAACCTAATGATGCTCTTTGCTTTCCAGCATTAAACCATTTGCACAACCAGCTTACCCCATCCAGCCACCCATGCCTCCGTCACTAGCCAGTAAGTGCGACCCTTGCCCTCCTTACAGGGACTGCAACCTGCTCGGTCCTATTTGTCCCCTGCCCTGTGCCACCCTCCCACCACCTCCTGCAGGCTCTAGGGGAAAAACCTGGGTTTAAACCCAACAAAAAGCTCCAGGATGAGCAGGACCCTGCTGCTCCCAGCTCTGTCTCTCCCCACCTCCACGTCCCTTTCCCTTTTCATCCCGTGTTTTGGCCATCCCAAGGGAAGCCCTCTGTGCTGGGAGATCTGGGTGGGTGGGGGTGCAATAGGACAGCAGTGCAGGGGGGTTCACCCCATGGTGTCCGTGTCCCCCTCCAGGTTATGAGCCCTTGGCTCCGCTCCCACCAGCCGCCTCGGCCGTGCCGGTCTGGCAGGACCGTACCATCGCCTCCGCCAAGCTCCGGCTCCTCGAGTACTCTGCCTTCATGGAGGTGCCACGGGATGCTGAAACGGTAACGGTCCCCTGCACCTGGGTGGGATGTGCCTGTCCCCATGCTTGGTTTGGGTTGAAGGGGCCTTAAAGCTCACCCAGCTCCAACCCCTGCCATGGGCAGGGACACAGAATCCCAGAATCCCAAGGGTTGGAAGGGACCTCAGAAGATCATCTGGTCCAACCCCCCTGCAAGAGCAGGGTAACCCAGAGTACATCACACAGGAACTTGTCCAGGTGGGCCTTGAATATCTCCAATGTGGGAGACTCCACAACCCCCTGGGCAACCTGTTCCAGTGCTCTGTCACTCTCACACTGCCAGGGATGGGGCAGCCACAGCTTCTCTGGGCACCCTGTGCCAGCGCCTCAGCACCCTCACAGGGAAGAGCTTCTGCCTTAGATCCAACCTGAACTTCCCCTGTTTCAGTCTGAACCCATCACCCCTTGTCCTGTCACTGCAGTCCCTGATGAAGAGTCCCTCTGCAGCATCCTTGTAGCCCCCTTCAGGCACTGGAAGCTGCTCTGAGGTCTCCCCACAGCGTCTCTTCTCCAGGCTGAACAGCCCCAGTGTTCTCAGCCTGGCTCCATACAGGAGCTGCTCCAGCCCCTGAGCATCCTCATGGCCTCCTCTGGACTTGTTCCAACAGCTCCATGTCCTGGGGACACCAGCACTGCACAGTGCTGCAAGCAGGCTCCATGAGAGCAGAGCAGAGGGGCAGGATCACCTGCTGCTACCGCGTGTTTTGATGCAGGCCAGCACTGGGTGCTTTCTGGGCTGCAAGCTTACCTCCTGCCAGTTCACCTCACCTCTCGTTTTCATTCCCCCACCCTGGTCCTTACAGTACAGCAAACACCTCTTCGTACACATCGGGCAGACGAACCCCTCGTACAGTGACCCGCTGCTGGAGGCTGTGGACATCCGCCAGATCTATGACAAGTTCCCCGAGAAGAAAGGTGGCCTCAAGGAGCTCTATGAGCGTGGGCCCCAGAACTCCTTCTTCCTCGTCAAATTTTGGGTACGATGCTGGGAGGATGAGGATGGGGAGGGTTCTCCTTGAGCCATGGGCTTGGTGCACGTTGCCAGCACAGTGGGAGCATCTTGGGCAGCTCATAAGCTGGTGTCCCTTGTTCCCATGGAGAGCTGGTTGGGATGACACCTAAGAGGACCCCAGCCCTGCTCATTGTAGAATCATGGAATGCTTTGGGTTGGAAGGGACCTTAAAGCTCCTCCAGCTCCAACCCCTGCCATGGGCAGGGACCCCTTCCACTGGAGCAGCTTGCTCCAAGCCCCTGTGTCCAACCTGGCCTTGAGCACTGCCAGGGATGGGGCAGCCACAGCTTCTCTGGGCACCCTGTGCCAGTGCCTCAGCACCCTCACAGTAAGAATTTCTTCCCTGTATCTTATATCATTTCCAGGCGGATTTGAACAGCACCATCCAGGACGGGCCGGGGACTTTCTACGGTGTCAGCAGCCAGTACAGCAGTGCAGAGAACATGACCATCACGGTCTCCACCAAGGTGTGCTCCTTTGGGAAGCAGGTCGTGGAGAAGGTGGAGGTGAGTCCCGTGCCCCACTGCATCAGGAAGGGGTGGGAATCGGGTCCACAGTGGGTTCCAGGATGGAGAAAGCCCCAGAGCTGGGTGTAGGAGCCATGGGAGCGGAAAGGCCATCTTCACCATGTCCCAGTTGGCCACCCTGTGGTTTTCCGTGTGCCATTGGGTTCCCAGTGCTCACCCTGGCTGTGCCCCACAGACGGAATATGCGCGGCTGGAGAACGGCCGGTTCGTCTACCGCATCCACCGCTCTCCCATGTGCGAGTACATGATCAACTTCATCCACAAACTCAAGCACCTCCCTGAGAAGTACATGATGAACAGCGTCCTGGAGAATTTCACCATCCTGCAGGTAATCCCCTTCCTTTTCCAGGGAGCATTTCCCTCCATGGCACAGCCTGCTGTGTGCTACCCGGTCCCAGGGCACTCAGCCTTGGCAGCGCGTATACACCTGAGCCCCCAAAACCTGGGTAGCAGGCTCTTGGTAGTGCAGTTAGATTGGTTGTGCCTAAGCCTGTGCAACACCCCAAATGTCTCTCCAACTGCCTGACAGGAGGATGGAGCCAGGAGGGGCTGGGCTCTGCTCCCAAGGAACAAGGGATGGGACAAGAGGAACCGGCCTCAAGCTGCACCAGGGCAGGTTTAGATGGAGCTGAGGAACAATTCCTGCCCCAGAGGGTGCTCAGGCATTGGAACAGGCTGCCCAGGGCAGGGCTGCAGGCACCGTCCCTGCAAGTGTTCACACAGCGTGGAGACGAGGCCTCAGTGCCATGGGTTAGGGGTGGCCTTGGCAGTGCTGGGGTAAGGGTTGGACTGGATGGGATTAAAGTCTTTTTCCAACCTGATTGATTCTAGGATTCTAAATAACAGGTAGCATGTTTTTCATGGTGCAATTAAAGTGTCTGAGCCCATCAACCCCACCAGTAACAGCATCTCCCCGAGGGCACAGCCCCATCCTGATGCGCTCTGTGCTCTGCTGCAGGTTGTTACCAACAGGGATACCCAGGAAACTTTGCTCTGCATTGCCTTTGTCTTCGAGGTCTCCACCAGCGAGCACGGCGCCCAGCACCATGTCTACAAGTTGGTCAAGGACTAGGGGCCCTCGGGGACAGGTGGGCTATGAAGGGTGCAGGGTGGGGGGGCTGCGCCGAGCAGCCACCCACGCCCACTGCCTCGTGAGGAGTCATTTGAAGAGAGGAGGAGGAGGAAGAAAAAGAATAGCCAAAAAAGACTGACTGTGACGCAGATGCTTTCGACTTAGGAACAGGTTCTTTTTTTTTTTTTTTTTTTAATAAGTAAAAAAAAAAAAGAAAAAAGAAGAGGAATGGGAAAGGAAGTGTAGGGAGAAAGGCAAACCGCATCCAGAGCTGGATGGGGAGAGGCCGAGGAAGGCCGGGAGCCCATCGTGCCACTGCCAGCAGCGGGATGTTGGCGCAGAGGACAGCCCCTCCTCTCACCCTGCACTCGAGGGTCCTGGTCCCAGTCCTGAGTGGAGAGGAGCGAGTACAGATGGGCTGGAGGATATGGCAGCAGCATCACTCCAGGTCTGACCTGAATCCGACTGGCATCAGTGCTGCCTGGTGGCTGGTGGGGACATAGGGATGGAATGTTGAGGTTGGAGCAGGGTAGGACAGGGTGGAGGGGACCCAGGATGCTCCTTCTCCATGCCCAGGTGAGGCACTGGGAGCCGGTGGCACAGAAGTGGGAGGCCATTGACGATGCAGTCTTGGTTTTTTATGGCTCTTTTTTTTTCTCCTTTTTTAAATTAAAGTGCTTTTTAATACTTTTTAAGAAGACACCGTGCTTGTAAGCAGGACTGTGACCCTCTCTGGTGTCCAGGACCTCCTTTCACCCCATGTGCTGGTGATGGAAGAGGTGACACTATAGTTTGATGGGTCAGAGCCATGCTGGGCTTGGGGAACAGCTCCTGTAGGGAAGATTTGGGGGTGTCCCCATTCCAGGAAGGGCTGCAGACGTGGCAGTGGGATCCCCTGAGCTCTGCACTTGGGGCGACCCAGGCTAAACATACCCACTGTGGTTGCTTGCTGAGGAGTATCAAGGAGAGAGCACTGTGGGTGGATTTGCCTGATTTACTTTGCATTTTCCATCCTTTTGTTGGAGTTCATTTCACCTTTTTGGACTTTTTTGGTGTTGACTGTTGTGGTTTCAGCTGCTCCCCCCCGCCGCTCCGGCTGGCTTGCCTGGATCCCATGGGAAGCAGCTGGGGAAGCAGCTGGAGCAGGGAGAAGAAGCGCATTGTGCAATGCAAGACCAGGCTGCGAGCGGGCAGAATTTGGGACAGAGAGAGGCAGAGAGGGGCAGAGGACAGGAAGGACACCAGAACAGGGGACTGGCTCTGCTTGGAGGTGCTTTTGTGGCTGCATCCCAAAATCGGCCCAGGCAGCGCATCCAGTCCCTAGGCTCTGCGTGGACTGAGCATCCCCAGGGTACAGGAGGGATGCGGAGGGGCAGAGGTTGGGATTTGAGGTGGTGGCAGGAGGCTGGCAGGGGGACGAGGAGCCTGCGATGGGCAGGTCTGGCCGGGTTTCTTGTGGAGTGAAGGCAGCGGGAGGTGCAGGACTGGGTTGAGGGGTGCTGGAGCCAGGGGTGATGGGACCGGGGGGTTTAGTCTTGATGCTGCCAGGTGTAGAGAACAGGGACTGCCCCAAAGCTTTGGAAAGGGCCTTGGCTGCCATTGTGGTGCCACGTTCCATGAGATGTGGGGACTTCAACCTCTCGCTGCTGAAAGAAGCCACTCGGTGGTGGGCCTGGATGGAGCAGGGACAGCAGAGCAGGGGGAAGGAGAGAGGGAGAAATCCAGGGAAAGGCATGGGCACCCCCTCGCAGGGCTGTGCCGGGCTGCCCGGCCGAGTTCTCGTATGTAGCATGCTTCTTTGTTGTTTCGTGGTTCTTTTTCTTTCTTCCGTTTCACTCACTGACCTAAAAACTCTGGGAATGAAAACTCAGCACTTCCCCCCCATAGAACACAGGCGTGCCCTGCTCCCTGTGCACAGGGGACGAAGCTCTTCTGGAACTGGACTGCTCTGTGCCTCCATCCCTGCATCCATCCCTGCACCCTCCATCCCGGGGTGCCCACCCGCACCCCCCGCACACGCTGCCTGGTACCCAGAGACACTTTCTCATCCCCCCATCCCCTCTGTTCTCCTCCAGTGTATTTATGAATTTCACATGAAGTACTGTTTTATTTTTTTAACGACTTTGTAAAGCTTACCAGGGTTACAATCACCATTTTTAGAGCTGTGTCAGTCCACAATGTTAAAAAAAAATCCCTTTTTTTTAATGTATTATATTTTTTGTGTATTTTTTTTAATCCAGCTGTGATGGGTTGTATCATATATTTGTTGTGTTTACTGTATCTGTCCAACTTCAAAGAGAGGAGACTGTGGAGCTCCAAGAAAACTACAGTCTGCTGAAAAGAAAACCATTAAAATTATTTGTTCATGGGTTGGCTCAAGTCATTCTGAAGTTCATATTGGTTTATTTCTTGTGGTTTTCTTCCAACAGACAGGACTATGAGGGTTGCTACAGCCCATGAAACCCCTTGGCTGGGTCACGCTTCCCCTGGACCACAGTTCTGGGCATTGCAACACCACATTCAAGAGCATTTTGCTGTGGTTGCATCACCAGGGGTGGTTCTGTAGGGAAGGTGACTCCTGGATTAACCCACCCTGGGGCATATGCTGCACAGCATCACTGGGTGCAGGGACACATATCTTAGGGGGTCACATCCTTGCTCACACTGGCATCAGGGGATGGAGGACTGAGTCTGACCAACCACTGGGAAATGCAGCCCGAAGAGCCAACCATATCCTGGGCTTCATCCCTGGCAGTGCTCAAGGCCAGGTTGGACACAGGGGCTTGGAGCAAGCTGCTCCAGTGGAAGGGGTCCCTGCCCATGACAGGGGCTGGAGCTGGAGGAGCTTTAAGGTCCCTTCAGCCCAACCCATGCTGGGATTCTGTGATTTCCTCAAGCCTCCAGAGAGCTCTGAAAGTCATCCCATCAAAGAGCAGTAAGGGGAAACTGCTTGGCTTGGGCAGTGCTGCTGCTACATCAGATAACGACTGGTCCTTGGCTTGGGTGAGAAATGAGCTGGGGAAGCCACCCATCCCAGAGCACAGATGGCTCTTTGCTGTCACCTGAAGCACCACAGGGCCTGTGCAGTGTGTGGTGTTTGCCAGGTCCCTGGGGGAATTCACCTCCTTCCGTGATTCTGTGGCTAAGGCATCCAAGAGACTTATTTCTAAGTGGGCTCCGTGTGGAGCTAATCCAGCCTGAGCCATAGGCTGGGAATGGCAACAAAACAACACGCAGAATCGAGAGAGACCCTGACAGCAGAGCCAGGCTCACCAGCACCCCGTGCATACCAGCCCTTGCTGAGAGCATCAGTGCCCCGCGAACAGGCTGTAGGACGTGCATGCAGTGCCATCGTAAGGGCTGTGAAGGAGGAGGCAGGGGAGGAGGAAAGCTGCTCAAATACTGGGCACTGCCGCCTTTCCCATGAGCCCATGGACAGGAGTAGGGGAAGGGAAGGGAGAGATGCCCGGGGGGGCTGCGGGATGCTCCCGAGGAGACCTGGGACCAGGGTGCTAATGAGAGAGGATGACAGCGACATCACGGAGGATCCCACAGGCCTCCGAGAAGATGCTGGGATGGGAGCCCGAGCTGCCAGGAGCTGCGCGGGCTGCCCTGGGGAGGCGAGCGCAGCCGCCGTTACCGCTGCTGTCCCCCAGAGCGCCTGCCAACGCACCGTATCCGCACCCATCACACCCACCCCCGACCCATTCACACCTCCCGGCCCTGACCCGCCTCCCGGGGCGGCCCCTTCCCTTCCCCTTCCCTTTCCGTTCCGTTCCGTTCCGTTCCCGTTCCGCGCTGCCTGCCGGGACGCGTAGTCCCGCGGCCCCGCACCGCTCCCGCTCGCACCAGGTCCGGTTCCGATCCCGATCCCAGTCCGCTCCGCGCTCCCCCCGCTCCGCTCCGCTCCGTTCTCCCGCTGCTCCGCCCCGCCTATTGCTGTGCTCCCGGCCCCTCTCTCTGCCCCGCTCCGCCTGTTGTTGCTCCCGGCCCCGCTCCGCCTGTTGCTCGCAATCCCATCCCCGTTCCGCGCCGGGTCCCGTCGGGAGCGTCCCCGGGGTTGTTACCGGTAATACCGGCTGGCACCGCACGGCGTGGGGACGAGATGAGCCGCGCTGGGAGCCCCCGGGGCAGGCAGAGCCCGGCTGCCCGCGCCCGTCACCCCGGAGCCCCGGGTCACTTTCCTGGGGTTCTAAGCGGGCAGCGCTGGGGCTGCTCCGGGCCCTCCCGGGGCTTGGGGTGTCCAAAAGTGTCCACGGGCTCCGAGGCGCGGAGGGGGCTTCGGGGGGGGTGGGTGTCCCGTGCCCGTGCCAAGCAGATTCGCTTTGAAACTGGACTTAAAGTTCCAGGGCTTGAGCCCTGAACCCCGTCCCTGACTCACCGGTGTCCTCGTCCCTGGCATGCAGGAGTCACCCGTCTTGTTCGGGTGCGTGGGTCCCTGATTAGGGGCAGGTTGGGGTTTGGGATGGCCCTTGCGGGTGGGAGAGGAGGGGGGGGCCTGGGCCAGGCTCCTTTGTCCCAGCCTGGCTCCCCAGATCTGACCCGTTCTCTGTGCCAGCTCCCCGGGGCTGTCACCCCCGCCCCGTCCCTACGGGACCCCCCTCTGCCCTGGTGAGCAATGGAGGGAGATTCCACCCTGCAGCTCCGTGTCTTCGACCTCAACTGCTGGTGAGTCCAGGGGCTCTCTGGGGTGGGGATAGGGACCCCTGCACTGGGAGAGGGGGCCCACCCTTTGTGTCCCCTTTGTTTCGGGCTCACACTGCTCTCCCAGCCCTGCGCCTGTCAGGGTTGTGCTCCCATCCCCTCTGTGCCTGCTCCTCCCAGAAACACCCCCCCCCCCGTTCACCCCCCAACCATGGATGAGCTGCCTTGATTCTGTGGGCAGGAAGAGCTGTCCCCAGTCAGCCTGCTTGTGCATCCCTCTTGTCCCCATGTCCCCCGGTGGCCCTTGCCCCTCCCTTCCCCTCTCAGTCTGCCTCCTGCCCATTCCAGTGCTGGAGCCCTCGCTCCCCCATTTCAGGCACTGGCAGCCCACATCACCCCCTGCACCCCCCCCCCTCCTCCAAGCTGTGACCTCCCCTTCTCTCCATCAGGGCCATCCGCTACCTGAGCAAACGGCGGCAGGAGCGCGTGCGGCTCATCGGGGACGTGCTGCGCCAGGAGCGCTTCGACCTGGTCCTGCTCCAGGAGGTGGGGGCAGCCCCTGAGCTGCACGCGCCTGTTGTCAGCCCCGGGCTGTGACACGAGGTGTGCCCGGTCTCAGCCCGGTCTCAGCCCATGCTGCTGTTCTCCAGGTGTGGAGCGAGCAGGACTACAGTGAGCTGAAGGTGAAGCTGGGAGGATGCTACCCCTTCTCCCATTACTTCCGGAGGTGAGAGGGGCCAAGCTCAGGGCTGCCCGTGGGGCTGTGACACATCCTTGGTGTTTGCCACATGGAGACACCAGTGCAGGTGCTGTAGGTCACCTCTGTCCCATGTGGAGAGTGGGGTGCTCACAGGAGCACAGTGGAACCCTGGGGTGTGAGGAGCCCCTTGGCTTGGGGCTGGCAGGAGGGAGGAGGGGGGCACCATATACTTGTGGTTAAGCCAACTATATACTGGGCTTCACCAAAACAAGTTTAACCATCAGGGTGAGGGATGTGATCCTGCCCCTCTGCTCTGCTCTCGTGAGACCCCACTTGCAGCACTGTGTGCAGTGCCTGTGTCCCCAGCATAAGGACATGGAGCTGTTGGAGCAAGGCCAGAGGAGGCCATGAGGATGCTCAGGGGCTGGAGCACCTCCTGTATGGAGCCAGGCTGAGAACACTGGGGCTGTTCAGCCTGGAGAAGAGAAGCTGCGTGGAGACCTCAGAGCAGCTTCCAGTGTCTGAAGGGGGCTACAAGGATGCTGGAGAGGGACTCTTCATCAGGGACTGCAGTGATGGGACAAGGGGTGATGGGTTCAGACTGAAACAGGGGAAGTTCAGGTTGGATCTAAGGCAGAAGCTCTTCCCTGTGAGGGTGCTGAGGCGCTGGCAGAGGGTGCCCAGAGAAGCTGTGGCTGCCCCATCCCTGGCAGTGCTCAAGGCCAGGTTGGACACAGGGGCTTGGAGCAAGCTGCTCCAGTGGAAGGGGTCCCTGCCCGTGGCAGGGGTCGGAGCTGGAGGAGCTTTCAGGTCCCTTCCAACCCAAACCAGTCTGGGGTTCTGTACCTACACTTCTCACTGTGCTTTTCCCCTCCTGCAGTGGGGTGATCGGCAGCGGCCTCTGCGTCTTCTCCAGGTTCCCCATCCTGGACACCCTCCTCTACCAGTACTCGCTGAATGGGTACCCCTACATGGTGAGTGGGATGGGGGACATGGCATCACGGTTCCTGGCCCCATGGAGCCTCACCAGCCCCCCAACCTGTGCCACTTCCCCTCTGGCAGCTCCAGCACGGGGACTGGTTCTGCGGCAAGTCCGTCGGCCTTGTCATCATTAAGATCTCTGGGATCATCTTCAATGTCTATGTCACCCATGTGAGTGCCCTGGGGAAGGACCTGGCACTGGGGGCGGCAATGGGGAGGAGGGGGATGAGTGGCTGTACCCCCCCTTTGCTGTCCCCTTGCTTTTAACCACTGCTCTGCACCGTATCTCATGGGACTCTGTACTGATGTAATGAAATATTGCTTTGGAGAGGGGCAGAGACCCCCAGCCTGGCTGAGCATCCCAGGCTGTCCCCAGGGGGTGAGATGAAGACAGAGGGGTTATCCAGACCCCAAAAGGACCATCTAGAGGGGCTGGGTGGGTGTGCAGGGAGCCAAGGAGTGAGGAAGGTGCCAGCGTGGGGGTCACGGCCACTCTGCCCCCCCCACCAGCTACATGCGGAATACTGCCGGGAGAAGGACGCCTACCTGCCCCACCGCCTGGTGCAGGCCTGGGAGCTGGCCCAGTTCATCCGGTGAGCAGCTGTGGGGTGTCCCAGTCCCACGGGGTTCCCCATTGCAGGTCCCCGGGGTGCGTGTGGTCACCCCTGCCCCTGGGGCTTGCACTGCAGAGAGCTTCCATTTGCACCAAGTCCCAGTCAGGAGTAAGGCTGGGGAGCGCTGGGGAGGGCCCCAGTCACCCCAGTCCGCTGTGGGGCAGTGGTTTAGCTGTCCCCACCCCCACAGACACACCTCAAAGGCAGCTGATGTGGTGCTGCTGGGGGGGGACCTGAACATGCACCCTGAGGACGTGGGCATCCGGCTGCTGCGCGGCTGGACGGGGCTGCAGGATGCCTTTGCTGAGGCCAAGCACTTTGAGGTGAGCAGCAGGGGGGAAGCAGGGTCCTGGGGCGCACTGAGAGCCCCCCACCCACCCATGTGCTTCATCTCAGGGCTGTAAGGATGGCTGCACCCTCATCCCCAACAACTGCTTCACCATCAAGACAGAGCTGCTGCCCTTCCCGCTCGGTATTCGCATTGACTACATCCTCTACAAGGTAACGGGGGGTGCCTTGGCCATCAGTCGGGAGGAGCAGGGGGGAGAAAGCATCACGAGCCCCCTGTCACCTCACCCAGGCCATCTCCAGCTTCGTGGTAAAGTGTGAAGAGCTGAAGACCACGACGGGGTCAGCTCCAGGCAGGGACATCCCCTTCTCAGACCATGAAGCTGTGATGGCAACGCTGCACATCAGGAGGCAGCGAGAGGCTGCGAGTGCCACCTTCAGCACAGCGGGTAAGGTGGGGGTGCTGCCAGGGTCCCCCATGTGCTGTGGAATAGGGGCTGGTGGATGGGCTGGAGCTGGATGAAGTGGGCAGAAGAGGCCGTGAGGATGCTCAGGATCTGGAGCAGCTCCTGTATGGAGCCAGGCTGAGAACACTGGGGCTGTTCAGCCTGGAGAAGAGAAGCTGTGTGGGGACCTCAGAGCAGCTTCCAGTGTCTGAAGGGGGCTACAAGGATGCTGCAGAGGGACTCTTCATCAGGGACTGCAGTGATAGGACAAGGGGTGATGGGTTCAGACTGAAACAGGGGAAGTTCAGGTTTGATCTAAGGCAGAAGCTCTTCCCTGTGAGGGTGCTGAGGCGCTGGCACAGGGTGCCCAGAGAAGCTGTGGCTGCCCCATCCCTGGTAGTGCTCAAGGCCAGGTTGGACACAGGGGCTTGGAGCAAGCTGCTCCAGTGGAAGGGGTCCCTGCCCGTGGTAGGGTCCTTTCCAACCCAAATCAGTCTGGGATTTTATAATTTGGATGGAGTTTTGGAGGAGGTTTCCCCTTGCTTAGGGCATCCCTTGGGGTGCCTGCGTGGGCAGGCAGAGCAGGGCAGTGGGAGAAAAAGCCCTACTGGGGGGGGTAAAGGGCAATGGGGGATGCCAGGGGGGTCCTATCCTGCTGAGCCACCTCTGCCCCCCGCAGCGCCGGCGCTGGTGGACGTGGTGACGGAGGCACGGACCGAGGTCGGCGTGGGGCTGCGGGCAGCGCAGCGGCAGCGCTACTCCACGGGCAGGCTGGCGGTGCTGGCGCTGCTGCTGCTGCTGCTGCAGGCTGCGGCCGTGCTGGGCACGCTGGCGGGGCTGGGCGGGCAGCCCTTCCCCAAGCTCTCCTTCTCCCTGCTGGCCTTCCTCGCCGCCGGCATCCTCCTCCTGGCCACTGGCCTCCACCTCTTCCACACCATCGAGGTGAAGATGCTGCAGGGCACGGAGGAGCAGATGCGGATGGCGCTGCGGGTGCTGCAGGAGCGGCCCAGCGACGGCTGAGTTGATGCCGTGGATGTCCCACGGTGTCCCCACAGCCCCATCCTGGCCTCTTTAGGTCCCTTTTTCCAGCTGACTTCTGATTGTAGGTGAGCAGCGCTGTGGCCGCATCGGTGGCACAGGTTCACAGCTGCCTCTCTGGGTGAGATTAAGATTTTGGGGGCCAGTTTCATCATGCTGGCCCCCATGGGAACCCGGGGGGAGGCAGATTTTAATCGCTTTTTTAACACACCCTTTTTACCTGGAGGGACCCACCAGCATGGCCGAGAGGCTCCAGAGGCTCAGCCTGGGGTGGCCTCAGGGGCTCCTGGTGAAAGCTGGTGCCTGCTCCAGCAACCAGATTTGACTCAGGTAGAAATAAAGGTGATGTTTTAACCCTTGGTGCTGGGCTGGGGAGGCTTTATTCAAAGGAAGGGGGAGTTTGCAGCAGGATTGTAGGGCTGGTGCAGACACAACGAGGACAGGAGGGTTTGGGGAGGGAGGATGAGGAATGGAGAGGGGGGTGCACTGCTAACAGAGGACCCCGCACCCAGGACCTCCATGCTCGGCATAGCTGGTGCTTAAGCACTGTCTGGCCGTGGAGGCCACCCCACAACAACCGTGGCATTGCCAAGCAGGAGAAACCCCAAAGGGACAAGGAGGACGCAGGCCTCAGCCTGGTGCCACACAGCACTGGCCCTGAGCACAGTCCCCTCTGGGAGCTGCTGGACAAACAGCCCCTTCCCCAGTGCTGGGGCATCACGGGCTGGGGGGGTCTGACTGGCTTCCAGCAGTTGCTGGGGAGAGCAGGGATGTGGCACTCGAAAGCAGCAATGCAGAGTGGTGGGGTCAGCCCCGTCTGTCCCTGGCTCCACTTGCAGAGCCACATGTCCCTGAAGAGCTGGATGTCCAGTGTGGGGTGGATGGATCTGCTGGATTAGGAGGCATGTCCTCAGTGTGGGTGGATGCCCCAGGGTGTCCTCCGAGGGCTACTCCTGACACTGCCTCTCCACATCTGGCATCTGCACTGCAACCTCCCTGCTGTGGCCAGGGTCACATCTCCAGTGCCCAGAGCTGGGCAGGTTGTGATGAGCCACCTCTGTCCCACCAAGAACGCGTCCTGAGGCAGGTTCAGCTCGAGCACGAGGGGCTCTGCTGGCAAAACACTTCCCATGGCCCAGCCAAGCCTCCGGGCAGCATCCTCTGGAAGAGGTGATGGCTGCAGGACCTCCTGCACTGAGCGAGACCCTGCTTCCACGCGGGGCTGCTTCCTCCTGTGGCAAACCCCACAGTGCCTGTGTCCTGCAGCCTCCTGCAGATCTTGTTCTCAAGCAAGCTCAAGGCAAAGGCAATCCAGCCAAGCGTGGGGAAACCCTCTCTGCACCCCCAAGCCAGGGTGCTCCCCGGTGTCTCCCTACACAGGTATCCACCAATGGGTCCAACCTCTCCATGGCAGCTTTGGCAAGCAGGGAGCTGGATTCACCACAGCACCTCAGGCATCACCTCCAGAGGTGATGCTGAGCCAGGCTGGGGGGACACCTCTTGTCCCCCCGCGGGAGGAACCCGTGTGTCCTGAGGCCACATGAGTCAGGGCTGCAGCTCACTGAGCCGCTTCTCCTCCTGGATGTGGATGAGGACGTTGCGCTTGTTCACCACGTCCAGCAGCTGCACCAGGATCTCCTGCTCGGCTGCACGATCCTCGGGTGTCTTCAGGGATTCTATGAGAGCAGGAGGCTGGAGCAGGGCTGGGGGGGGGGGCACAGCCCCATCATGCTCCCCCCACCAGGCACAGGAGCCCCAGAACTCACCCTCCTTGTTCATGTAGCCCCGGAGCTTCTGGTCGAGCTGGCACTGCTGCTCCTCCAGCTTCAGCTCCTGCACGCTGCGGGGAGGGAAGGGGGCCGCTGGGCTCGGGGGGCTGGGGTGAGCTGAGCCCCCCATGCCAACCCGGAGCATCCTCCCCAAGCCTTACGCGATCATGAGGTCTGACTCCTCAGACATCAGGCTGTTCTTCTTCTGGACCAGGTACAGCAGCTGGTTCATCCACTGCGTCTTCTGGTCGGCCGGGGTGCCTGTGGGGCAGGGGGGGTGTGAGTGGGGCGCAGACCCCCTCGTTACGGTGCTCGTGGTGCCCCATCCACCCTGGCTTTACCACCCTCATCCCGGAGTAACTTCTCGAGCTTGATGCCCTGCTGCTCCAGCTCCCGGAATGTCACCTCGATCTCCTCCAGCCGCCTCTGGATGGCCTGCAAAGGGAGGGCAGTCATCACCCATGGGCTGGCACCTCCTGCAGTGGGATGGAGGGGATGGGGACCCAGCTCTGTCCCACGGGGCTACCTGGGCTTTGCAGAACCGCTTCATCTGGGCTTCCCTGTCCCGGCGGGTCAGGGTGCGCTTCCAGGTGGGGTATTTCTCCTCTTCCCCCGGGTCCAGGCCCTGTGAGGGACAGGGGCATGGGCAGGGGTCAGTCATTGCCCCAGTCATTGCGTCAGAGCCTGACCCAATGACTCTGAGAGGAGATGTCAACGAGAGCCCCAGCACTGCCTGAGCTGGTGCGGCCACTGCTATTAAGGGAAAGCACTCACCGACTCCACCCTGATGCCAAGGTTCGGGCCTTCCTCCTCCTCCTCCTCCTCCTCCTCCTCCTCACTCTCACTCTCCTCCAAAGCTGCCCCAAGAAAAGAACCGTTTTGAACCGTTTTGGGGTAGTGGAGGGACCCAGAGCCCTGCTCAGAGACCCCAGCTCATAGTCACCTACCTTCCTCCATGGCCATTTCCTCCTCCTCTTCCTGCTCTTCCTCCCAGGCATCTTGTGCTGGCCACTGAGCAGGAAGGGCCTCAGGTGCTGCTTGGAGCCACAGACGAGCTGGCTTCGGTGGTGGCTCAGGCTCTGCTTCACTGGTGAGGTTCAGCGTGGACAGCTTGAGCTTCTCCAGTGGCGTGAGGACGATCTTCCTCCTGCCACCACCCTCCTCACCCTCCTCTGCCACCCGTCTGGGCTCCGCGCTGGGACCCTCATCCTCTCTCACATCCTGCTTGGGCTGTGCCAGCAGCTCCTCCTGCTGCTCCATGTCACCAGCATCACCCACAGCGTCCTCCACTGCCCCTCGCTCTTCCCCTAGCCGCGGCGCTGCTGCTGGGGGCTGCAGGGGACCCGGTGGTACACCATCCTTGGGGGACACACATGGGCTCCCAGCATCCGAGGGCATGCAAGCGGCATCCTATGGCAGAGGGGTTACGCAGCACAGGAGTACCCCCTCCACCCCCCTCCACCTTCCCCCTTTTCCATGGGGATTTACATCAACTTACCCCATCAGGCAGCACCAGGGGCTCATCCTGGGCCGGATCCATGCCGGTTGGATGGGGGTAATGAAGCGAGCAGTAAAAATGACCTGGAGGGGGGGAACCCCAGACCCATGCAATGACCTGGCTGGTGGAGAAGCCTTCCCCTGAGCATCCCCTCCGGGCCGCCCCCCTCACCGTGCTGCTCATCGCAGGCGTAGTCGCCCAGGCGCAGGGTGGCCCCGCACTGCCAGCACTGGAAGCACCCGCGGTGGAAGAAGCGTCCCTCGGCGCTGGCTCGCTCCAGGATGTAGACGCGGCGGCCACAGAAGTAGCAGGCGTCGCTGCTGTCCCCGCGGGCGGCCGCTGGCTGCGGGCACACGGGGCAGGGTGCGGTGGCACTCGGGGGGCTGGCGCCCACCCTGCCCCAGCAGCCTAAAGGGGTTGGGGGGGGGTTCTCCGCTTGCAGCTCAGGTTTGCTGGCACCAGCAAGGGAGTGGCAAAGCCTTGGCTCTGGAAAACCAGTTGGGTCAGGAAACAGGCAGGGAGGAGCCGGGAGCATGTGGGTGTTTGCTTGCACAGCTCCAGTCCCAACCCTTGGCTCAGCCCCACCGCTGCCCCCACAAGCGCCCACCCACCCACAAGGACCAACCTGCCCTGGGTCCATGGGGGTGGTTTGTGGCGGCTCACGGGCATCATCCGGCATGTCTGCATCCAGCCCTGTCTCCAGCTAGGAGCAGCCCAAGGGAGGGTCAGCCTCACACTGCTCCCCAGGACCACTGCGCCCTGGGGCACAGCACCCCTCTGCTGACCCACCTCAGCATCCCTGCGGCTCCTCTTGGCCTCAGCATCTTTCTGGGCACTGTCCTGCAAAGGGGATAGCTAGGATGGGGAAGGGGGCATGGTTTTGGGGTGTCACGAGGGTCTGGATGGGGATCCCTCACCTGGGCGCGCTTGTGGGTCAGGCTCCGGCTCTTCTGCTGCTTGCTGAGGAAGAGGATGGCTCCTCGTGTACCAAGTGGAAACAACGACTTCTTGGTGACCTCCTCTGCCTCTGCACAGAGGGGACACAGCCATGGGACGCACCCTACAAAGCGGGGGGCACCCACCCAGCCCCAGAGGAGCATCAGGATAGGATACGTCACCCCAAAATCCATACCTGGTGAGGTCTTGAAAGCTTCATAGAACTGGCTGAGGTAGGTGATGAGCCCCAGGCAGTCGGGCTCTGCCATGGTGGCCATCTCAATGCTGGAGAGGACAGGCTGGATGCCCAGCTCCTGTTCCGCCACGTCCAGCATCATCTGGTGGTTCCGGATGGGATCCTGGGGGTCCAGAGACTCGAAGTGCCTGCAGGGAGACACGGCTGGCACCAGGGTGTGCTCTGCAGGTTGGGGGGTACCGGTGGGGGTCCCAGGCACTCACACCAGGTCAGGCCGGAAGCGGTGGATGAGGGCGCAGAGGGCCAAGCCGCTGGTCCAGGAGGTGGTGAAGTTGGTCACGTCCACGCCTCGGTACCCGGCCGTGCTGGCCTGGCACCAGCTCAGCAGGTCCTCATAGGCACCTCTGGAGACCACTGGGGAAGCAGCACACGTATCCCCACCCCAAAGCGGCAGGGGACACCCCCATCCCGCTCCGCAACCCAGCATCAGTGCTTTAGTGGGGAAGGGGTCCCATGGGGATGACACAAGATGCCCGCCATACAACACACCCCACACCCCCCCCGAGGCTCAATAAATGGGTTGATAAAGCATCTGTCAGGATTTCCTAGCTCAACATCAGTGCAGGCCAGGAGGAGACAACAACCTCCCCCCTGAGCTGCAGCTGCGGCTGGGTCCCCAGAGGGGGCATGGGCAGAGGGAATGGAAACCAGCAGTGCCACTGGGATGGAAAGGCAGCTGGTGCGGGGAGGAGTGCGGTGGGCAGATGGACAGGAGCCAGGGAAAATCAGGACAGGAGCTGCTCTGGCTTGGGCTGCTGGGAGGAATGCGGGGTCCTGGTGCTGGGGGGGCCGAGGCAGGACCGGCTGCTCCTACCAGTGCTGAGTCTGTTGTCACTCTTCCTCTTGTGGTCCACCTCCACTGTGCCCACGAGGTAGAGGTCCCGGACCTGCAGATGGGGACACGCCAGTGGTGGGGCACTACATGCACAGAGCCAGTGGTGCCTTGCCCAGAGCTAAGCCCAGCAAGGAGACACCCAAACACCCCAACCTCCCCAGAACCCCCCGCATCCACAATGCACAATGCATTAAATTGGCCCTGGGGACCACCACGTTCAGCTTCACACCCTTCTGGGACAGGAGACCGTGCAAGTTGGTGTCACCCTGACCACTGGGGAGGCTGGGCTGGGTGGCTGCCCCATGGCAGGACCTGGGCTGGGTACCTGGTTGGCTTTGATGGCCTGCAGGTTGATGTTGGGGTAGCGCGTGGCCGGGTCGATGCTGTACTGGCTGATGTTCTTGTTGGTGTTGTCCGGGGAGGTCTGGGAGAGGTGCTGGTAGATGCTCTCCCTGGGTGGAAGGGACACGGCTGGGGTCAGTGCTCATCCCCACCCGCTCTGGGTCCAGCCCAGCAGGACGGGGATATTCACCTCTCAGCCAGCACCTCCAGCGGGGGCGTCCCGGCCGCCCATCGCCGCACCATCCATGCCGCATCGAAGGCAGCGAGGAAGCCCCGGGCCACACCAGTGCCCAGCGGCCAGAAAGGCTGTGAAGGGAAAGGCAGAGGTGGAGCTGGAGCAGCACGGCCGGGCGGGATGGCTGGGAAGAGGCTGGGAGCTGCCAGGCTTGGCCGGGGATGAAAGCAGGGAGAGGCAGCAGGACACACAGCGAGCATGGTGCCTGTGTCCTCCCCAGCCAGAGCGGCTGCCTCTGGAGAGGAGCTGGGCTGCTCCTTCACCCTGATCCCTGGTGGGGCCAGGGAAGGTGTAACCCCACCAGAGCATCCTGACAGTGGGACTTGGGGATGGGCAGATGGGGCAAGAAGTATTTAGGGATGGGGAATATATGACAACCAGCACATCTTGCAGGGAAAAGGGAAACTGAGGGAATGGTGCTGCAAGGGGGACCCTCACCTCCACCAAGCAGTCGCCCACCAGCCCAAGGAGCAGGCGGACCCCGTTGTGCTCCCGCACCAGCGCCGCGTTCTCCGAGCGTGTCATGCAGGTGAAATCAAACATGTCAACGTCCGGCAGGCCCCGGTGGTTGAGGGCAAACTCCAGCTGGGGAAGGCAGTAGTTGGTGGAGAAGTTGGCAGCTTCTTTGGCATAGCTGAGGAGGGCGTCCCGGTTCACGTTCTCTGGGGAGAGGAGGCTCTCGATGTCCGCTTTGTCCTGCGAGGATGGGGTGAAGCTGGCTGGGACATGGGAGGCGGTGTCTGCCCCCCAGCCTGAGTGCAGCCGTTCTAGGGTGAAGCTGTGCCACTGGGCCTGGGGCTGTGAGCCCTACAGGAGGATTCTTCCCCTGGCACAGGCTGCCAAAGCCCTCAGCATCGCAGGGGTGCGGGGTCAAACCAGCACCCACGGTCTGCATCCTCCCCTCCATCGCTATGGGATCCTATGGGATCCCAGGGCTGGATCCTGCCCTACTCACCTGGAGGATGACCCCCTTCTTGAGCAGGCTCTGCTTCTTGGCCGTCATGACAAAATAGTGAGTGTCATCCTTGTAGTAGACGATATTTTCCAGGTCGATGCCTGGGAATGGGCAAGGAGCTCTGCTGAGCCATGGGGCAGAGCCACGGGGAGCCCCCACACTGAGCTCAGCCACCTATTGTCCCCTGCTATGAAGTACCGGGCAGGGACACGCATCCAGGGGACACAGAATCAGCTGGGTTGGAAAGGACCTTTAAGACATCCCAGGGCTGAGCCTCCAATTGCACCAGGAGGGGACACGGAGCCGCGCACCCCCCTGCCGGGGCTGGGACCACCGACCTGTTTTGTTGTAGAGGTTCTGGAAGAACTTCTGGTTGTAGATTCGGGCCACGCCGCTGATCTCGGCCACCTCCACCTCGGCCCGGCTGTGGCGGTTGATGAAGTTGGTGGTGATGCCAATGGCCAGCTTGCCCCTCATCTCCTTCCGCTTGAACCCTGCGGGATAGCACTGGTGTGAGCCCCCGCCTGAGCCCCCTGTACCAACCCCATGGGTGCAGGGTCCCTCTGCCGTCACCTTCAGGGACAAATTTGCCTCCACCGGCTGAGATGAGGACGTCGAACTCGTAGTGGCTGAGGGGCGAGGAGCTGGGCTGCAGCAGAGCGCGCCAGCCTGCGGGGAGAGCGCCCGTCACCAGTGGGCTGGCTCTCAACTGGGACGTGCTCCAGTGCAGGGGGGAGACGCTTGCATCTCATCCCCCTGCAAACAGGCATGGCCTGGACTAGCAGAGGGCCCGGGGGGGGCTCAGAGCAGCCACCCACATCCCTGTCCTTGTCCCCAGAGATGCCACAGCAACACCTTACCCTGTCCACCCGCTTTGCCCACTGGGGGGATGAGACCGTTGAACTGCACCTGGATGTGCACCTCCACCCCCAGGAGCAGAGCCACCTTCAGCAGGATCAGCTGGAGCTGCCGGATACCTGCGATGGGAGCAGGGACACTCAGGGCTGCACCCCTGCTCCTTGTGGGGACAACGGGGGGACCCTGAGGGTGCAGAGCTTGCCCCCCCCTAAAAGACTCACTGATGTGGTCCAGAGTGCCGGTGCAGAAGTGGCCATAGAACTTCTTGGCGCCCAGCGCCCGCAGGTCGTGGATGGTGAAGGGCCAGAGGTGCAGGACGTTGTTGCGGGAGAAGGAATCCCTCTTCTCCAGCAGCACCACGCGGGCACCCAGCAGCGCCAGCTCGATGGCCACCCGCAGCCCACAGGGGCCAGCGCCCACCACCAGGCACTGCCAAGGGGATGGGTGGTGTGAAGGTGATGGGCACCCCACAGACAGCAGGAGCATGGCTGCATCTCCCTCCTTCCCCAGCCCAGGATCTGGCTCTCTCAGGCAGTGCCCTCATCCCCTGCGCTGCATGCACTGCTTCTCTCTGCAAAATGGGGGTCCTGTGGGGAGCCCCTCGCTTCTCTGGCTGCCTGAACCTTGCCTTTGCCCAGGGCAGCAATGCAAAGTGCTCAGTGAGATAAAGCACAGCCCGGAATGGGATCTCACCAGCAACAGGCTCAAAACCAGGACTTGGGTTCCATCTCCTGCATAAGACTGGGGGGATGATGGGGCACCAGTACTGGGGACAAAAGCTATCAGCTCTTGGACAGAAATAGGATGCCTGAGCCCCAGGGAAGTCCTGTCCTCCAAAAAGGGCCTGGCAGGTCCCTTTGCCCCTTCGCAGCCTCCCATGAGGTGTCCCCAGTGAGGAGCAGCCAGGAGGAGGAAGGACGCTGTTGGCTGGGTGGCACTGAGGTGACATCATGCCACGGGGAGAGGAGTGGTGCTCATTAACACCCTGCCCCATTAAACCCCATCAACCCCATCCTGCATCCTCCCGGGGTGGGGGGCAGGGTGCCCCAAGTGATGCTCTCACCCTGATGACAAGGACACAGCAAGGAGGGACCCAAACCCTGCACTCCATACACCCGGTACCTTGGTGCTGGCACAGGCTGTGCCCTGGTCGTAGTCCTTGTGCCCAGCTTTCTTATCCAGCTTGCTCCACAGGGCCTTGGCACTCCAGTAGTTGAGGGCAGCCTTGAGGCCATGGTAGAGCTGCAGTCCGCTGCCCTGCAGCCCCAGCTCCTGGCACAGCTCCCTGAAGCAGCCCAGCACCTCCCGGCACTCCCCGGCACGCAGGAACCTCTCGAAGATGCCATGGGCCGGGTTGGCCGGGGCGTTCATCCTGCTTCACCGCGCAGCCTGGCGAGGGACAGCAGAGGTAAGCGGGGGGGGGGACCCTGCTGACCCCCATCCTCAAACCCATCCCAGTCCCATACCTGGTCTGGGTGCGAGGTTTCCCACCCGGGGGTGCTCTTGGGGCTCTTCCTGGCAGCGGGCGCTGAAGTCTCCCCTGGGTGCTGCACCCGGCGAGCCACGGTGTCACACTGGGCAGTGACGTCAGGGGAGGGGGTGGCTGCGGTGGCAGCAAGCGGCTTCCTCCGTGCAGCGCGTGCCTGCAGCAGGGAGAGGTGCTTGGAACAAACCCACCGCTTCCTTCCTCTTCACCTTCAGCCTCACCAGGGGAGGGACTGGGAGCTGGGCCCTGGGTGCAGGGGCAAACCGAACGCAGCCAGACCCAGCCCTGGGGAGCAGGACTGGACCCATCCCACCAGCCTGGCTGTTAGAACCGGAGCGGGGTGACTTTTCCACCCATCTCTGCCTCTGCCACCCCTGGAGCAGGGCAGACGCAGATGAGCACAGAGGAAGTACCAGTGCGGAAACCCCAAAACCCAAACGAGCGAAGGAACTGCTGCCAGGGAACCTGCAGGAGGAGAGGTGCAGTGCACTCCCCATGGGTACCCCAAACCCCCTGCATCCCCTGGGAGATGCGCTCCTGGCATCTCTCCTGGGACCAGCACTGCTTGCATCCCTATCCCACTCCTGGCACTGTCCCCTCAGCACTGTCCTATGCCATCCTCTATTTGCCACCCTAAGCACAAAGCTTTGCCTTGGCCCAGGGCTGGGAAAGCCTCCCCCAGCCCCACAGATCTGTGGTGCTGCCAAGCAGGAACTGGTGAAAGTCTTGGGAAGCCGGAACACTCCCACCTTTGAACCATTGCTCTTTGCCCTCTCCTGTTGGTGTTACTGGCAGCAACGTGGTGGCACCCTGGAGGATGCCAGAGGGGGAATGAGGCAGCATCTGAACCCGGCTGCCCTCGGTGGGGTGGGGGAATGGAGGGGTTTAAGCCTGGGCTTAAATTTAGGCTGGAAAGGCCAAATCCTAGACGGGTTTCAGGTTTGGCCTCACTCCAGCAGCTTCCCTCCGCCTGCAGGCGCTTTGCAAAGCACTTCTGCAGGTCACCTTCCCTCCCAGGCAGGAAACCCGGGCACTGGAACCTCTTCCTCCCTGGGCAGACACAAGGGCAAAGCATCCAGCAGGCAGGGAGCAGGAGCCGGCACCCCCTGCTCGGTCCCCAGCCCAGCAGCATGGGGACAGAGGACAGGAGCGATGCGTTCACAGCAGGGTGCTGATTCCTGCTCTTCCCCCGAGGGCTCCAGCCCTTGTGGCCACACCAGCTGCAAACCTCACCCCCCCCAGGCCCCAGTTCCCACTGGGCACGATGGCGGGGGCAGCACGCTTCCCAGGAAAGATTTCAGGCCCCAGCGCTGGGGCAGGGAAGCTCGGAGGCGGCAGAACAACGCTCCCTGTGTTACACCAAGTTTCCTACGGAAACGATGCTGGTGCTGGCACACATCCCCTTCAGTCAGCTCAGCCCCCGCCACTGTCAGCAAGGGCAGAACCCCCCCGATACTCGGTTCCTGCAGGTTTGGTGCAAGCAAGCAGCTTTCAAGCCCCACAGGCCAGGGATGGTGCTGAGCCAGGCTGCCTCCGGCTCTGCTCTCCCCATGGATGCCTTCTGCATCTCTTCCCTTAAAACTGCTCCTGGAAGCTGGAGGGAGGAGCTGGGGGGGGTTGTTGGTGGTGTAGAATTGAGCCAGCCCTGACTCAGCTCATGCTGGCTCTGGTGGGGACATCACCCCGGAATGACGCATGTGGAGCGTCCCTGGAGCAGGGACATCCCACCCTGCTTTGTAGGTCGGGGTCTCTGCTGTGTCCTTGCATGAAGAGAAGCAGTGGTCCCCTGGGAGATGGCCAGGGCGGGCTGTGCTGGGGGTGCTGGGCTGCGGGCGAGCTCATGTCTTCCAGGCACATGGAAACGGGGTGGGGAAGGACACGGCTCCATGCGGAGCTAATGAAAGCTGGGAGGATTTCCAGCCTCTGGGAGCTGGCTCCCAGCATGGACCAGGCTGCTCTGGGTTTGGGATCCAGCCTGGAGACCCCCTCCCTTCCAGCAATGTCAGGAGGGCCCTAAGGCCTCCAGCTCTTGAAGGGAGGGGAAAATCCCTGCGAATCCTCTGGTTTGAGCCAGGGATGTGGGTGCATGGGCAGAGGCCCCCAGCACGGAGCTGTGGGGAGAAGAGTGGAGGAGAGGGGACAAAGCAGCCACCAGCAGTAGCAAGGGCAGAGCCTGGCAGCAGGGTCACGGTGGGGGAGCTCCCCCCCCGGAAAGCACAGGCCAAAATCCCCCCTTGGAGGTGCAGCCAGCAGCAGAAGTGAGCACTTCTTGGGGCATTTTGGGGTTCCCTTTGCAGGGGATTCACAAGCCACAGTCCAGCCACATCCTGAGGAGAGGCAGAGACAACACCTGGGGGATGCGTAAACTCACCCACTACCAGCCCCATGGGGGGGAGCTGCCTCTTGCAGCTGAGTTTCGGCACAAGAAGTCTGCCCAGGGCCAGGCTTTGCATCCCACATCTTTGTCATCCTCCTGCTTCTCCTTCACCCCCAGCCCCTGTTGCCCCTGTGGGGTCTTGGGGTAGGTACCATGGATTTGGCTACCCAAATGTACTGGAGTCTTCATCCACTCCAGGCACAGGATTGTGTCCCCCAGGCTCAGCCCTGGGATGGGACCAGCCCTAAACCCCCTCTTAGAACTCACTCCCGAGGTCCTTGGAGCATCCCACTGGGCAGAGGGGTGGGATGTGGGAGAAGCACTCAGCAAAACTCTTCCCACTCCATCCCACTCGGCGCTGGGAGCACTGGCAGTACTGGGAATGGAGACGAGGAGGAGGAGTGGGGGCTGCTCTCTTTCCCTTTTGTCCCGGGGGGAGAGAAGCAGCAAGAATGCGGCGGGGGGACCGCCGGAAGAGACTTTGGGGATGGGGCAGCGAAGACAAAGCGCTTCCCGCCCCCCCACCAGAGAGCATCCCTGCTCGGCATCCCGAGCATCCCACAGCACACGGGCACGGCGGGGCTGAGCATTTCCTTTGTGTTCCAACAGCCCCCCCCCCCCCAATCAGCACCCCAAAATCACCCCTTGGCTTTGGCACCCTCCATCCCCAGCCAAGCCCCGCGGGCAGACGGGACCGGCCGGTGGGATGCTGCCCGCATCCGAGCTGGGGGACACGGGGATGGGGAGACAGCAGAGCCCTGACACCCGCACGCAAGGATGCTCTGCCCATCACCACTCCTCACTCACCTCCAGAGCCTGCCGGAAAGGGAAACTGAGGCACAGCCCGGGGGAAGCGCTCGGGGCCGCTTGCAGCGGCAGAAGCAAGCAGGAAACGGGCTCCGGCTCCGCAAGCCGCGGCGGGCTGGCCCGGCCCTCCCCTCCCCTCCTCCTCCTCTTCTTCCCTCCCCCTTTCCCACCCTATCTCCCCCCGCCGGGGGAACCGGGGGGACTCGGGCGCCCCGGCTGCTGCAGCGCGGTGCTGGGACCGGGGGGTTGGTGCTGGGACCGGGGGGTTGGTGCTGGGACCGGGGGGTTGGTGCTGGGACCGGGGGGGTGGTGCTGGGGTGCTCCGGGCTTTGCTGCTGCAATTGGGGTACCACAGAGCTGGAGGCTGAGCCCACATCAGCCACCCGCGAGTGGTCCCCAAGCTGCTCTGGGAGGTTTGGAGCAGCTGGATGAGGAGATGCACAGCACAACCCCTGTCCTTTTGGTTGTTGGGGGGGTCTTTTTGTTAATTTTAGGGTGAGAAACTAGACTTTCATAAAGGAAATACAAAGATTCAGGCGAGCAAACCAAACCGCTTCACTTTCCGCCCCGGCTCTGCGCTGTACTTCCCCCCCCCAGCCAAAAATAGAGACCAAGAGGGAGCTGTGGTACAGGGGGACCCGCTCAGTGACAGCCCCGCACCCCAACCAGTGGTCAGAACCACCACCGCCCCCGGGGGAACTTTTGGGGTGATGTGGGGACCCGAGTGGGAACGGTCCCTGCAGGGTGAAGGTACCTTAGGGCAGAGGATGGAGCCGCTGCAGTCACTGAAGGTCGCTCCTGGCCTGGTGCTTTGGGGTGGTTTTGGGTGCCGGTGTCCTCAGGGTGCTGCTGGACCCTGGGCTCCGGTGACACACGGGGACAACCTGCCACGAGGCTGGGGACGGTGACTCAAGGGCACGGGGCGGGGGCTGTGTCGCCGTGAGTCACCCGTGGCACCGCCGCTGGCTTCGGCCAGTGGGGCCACCCAGCCCGGCACCTCCATCCCTCCTCCCCAGGGCCCCTCGGGCCTCTCCCCGGGGTCCTGCTGCAGAACCACCCCCGGACTCCTCCCCCCCAGCTCGGGAGGGGTGTTCCGAGCCCACCGGCTCTCTGCGAGGCTGCTGGATGCGGGCACAACGGAGCCCATCCGTGCTCTGGAGCAGAGAGAGCCCGGGGCGGACGCGGAAACGGGGCGGACGCGTCAAACCAGGCGGTTTTCCCAGACGCTGGAGCGGCCAGGAACAGCTCCCTCTGTTTGTGAGCCCTTTGTGCTGCTGGCAGAGAGTCTGGACGCTGACCTGGCTCCTGCCAGCCCCACCTTTATCCCCCAGGCAGCAGCAAATGAGCATTAGATCTCAGTTACAGCTCCCCAGGAGCAGGGACCGAGGACACGCCGCGGTGGAGGGTGTCCAGGCAGCGTAGTGGGGAGGGAACATTGACGCTAATGCAAACCCACTGGCCACGGGCAGTCTCGTCTCTGCAGCACAGGGGGATTGTGTGGTAGCATCCCTGCACCCCTTGGTGTGCTGAGAACAGGCAAACTCACAGCATCGAGGAGAGCTTCTGCAGCTCTGTGAGCCCTTTGTGCCTGTAAGGACGTGCCAGCCAAACCTTAGATCCCACCACAGGATGTTCCCTGCGCTCCAGCATTACAACCCCCCCATTTTCCCTCCGGTTTTATTATTCTAGGGCTGTGGTGTTTTACAGTGTGAGGAAGGAGCAACGACACAGACTGAGGGACTTCCCCTCCCTGCTCAGGCTTAGGCCTTGGGCGATGCCACAGACTGCAGCCGCTGCAGCTCCAGGGCACGGATGAGGAGGAGGAAGGCGATGCTCAGGAGAAGCAGCCAGAAGAAAACCCAGTAGTACTGCGGGAGGAAGAGCCACGGCCGCCACAGCACCTCTGGGGACCCCTTGGACCTGGAGAGAAGGCGACCAGGGACACTCATCAGCCGGGAGAGGAGAGCGAATCCCTCCTCCGCCCAGCCGGGGACGAGGAGGGGGTTCAGCTCAACCCCAGACCTCACTGGCCCTTTTGCAACCCAAATACAAGCAGCCTGGGAAGGCACAGGCGACCCACAATGCACAGGGGAAACTGAGGCAGAGGAGGGTCAAACTGGGGCAGACAAGCAACATCCCAGCTTTACATCACCAGATTCCCCAGCCCATTCCCCATGTGCAGCCCTAGGACCACAAAGAGCCCAGCAGCCACAGGCAGACACTGAGCACACACAGGGTGCTGGGCACACGTGGGGTGCTGCTCACATCAGCCCAAGCTGCTCCGGCTCCTTGCTCCCTGCACCTGAGCCTTTGTCTTGTGCCTCAGCCGCTGTGTCCCCGGTCACGGCACTGCCCTGGCCCTGCGGCTCCAGCTCGCTCCTGGGGAGAGAGAGGACCCGGTGCTGTGCCATGCCCCGTGGGGCAGTGCCAGCCGGTGCCGTGCCACCCCCTGCCGTTACCTCTGGGTGCTGCGCCAGCGCTGGGCCCCGTCCCTCTCCAGCTCCCCGGCCAGCGCCGCTCGGCTCTCAGCGCTGGCACCTGGCTGGGCACCAAAGGTGGGAACATCAGCGGGGACCCAGCGCCCCGGCAGCCCCGAGCCTGGGGACACGTCCGGCAGCGGGACACAGAGCTCCGGTCCGTCCCCGCCGCGCCTGTCCTTACCAAGAGCTGCTTGGGGATGACGGCGATGCTGACTCTGCGGCGGGCAGACCCCTGCAACGGAGGGGCTGGGGGTGAGCGCTGCCCGTACTCCCCATCCCCTCCTTCCCCATCGCCTCCCTAGCACAGGGACACCGAGGAGAAGGGACACTGTGCCAGCCTCCCACTGGCCCTGGAGCTAAGGGGGAAGCCTGAGAGCTGGTGGGATGAGGGAAGGTCAAAGCCAAGAGGTTTGTGCCTGTCCTTACTGCTTCAAGCCGTGCCAGCGGGGCTGCCTAAACCCTCCCCGAGCGCTCCCCTACCTCTTGAGCTGTAGGGGAATCAGTGCCGAATTCGAGCTGGTGCTAGAGAACAGCCAAGCCTGCGCCTCTCACGCTATGACCCTGCAACGCAGAGGGACCTGCCTGAGATCTCCGGGACAAGCAGCACCCAGCCTCGGGCACCCTCTCTCCCTGCAGCCCCCCGAGGCCACCCCTACATTTTGCTTCGTGCCCAGCACTTCTAGCAGACCTTGCCCGCAGCAAGCAGCTGGCAGGGATGGCATCGCCCTGGGACAGTGGGTGCACGGGGACCGCAGGCGAGGGAGAGCAGCAGGGTGCGGGGAGGTGGTGGCTCCGGGGCTGCTGAACTGGGACCAGTTACCTGCTGGAAACTTCGCATCAGGGGATGAGGCCTCAGCCGTGGCTCCGCGTCATCTGGGATCAAAGAGAATCAGCCTTACATCACCCCCAAAAATGAAGACAGGGGTGATGGCTGCAAACCTCCCTCCCATTGAAAGCTGTCCTGGCTACATGCTCAGTGCTTGGTACACGTCATAGAATCCCAGCCTGGTTTGGGTTGGAAGGGACCTCAAAGCTCCTCCAGCTCCAACCCCTGCCACGGGCAGGGACCCCTTCCACTGGAGCAGCTTGCTCCAAGCCCCTGTGTCCAACCTGGCCTTGAGCACTGCCAGGGATGGGGCAGCCACAGCTTCTCTGGGCACCCTGTGCCAGCGCCTCAGCACCCTCACAGGGAAGAGCTTCTGCCTAAGAGCTCAGCTCAGTCTCCCCTCGGGCAGGTTCAAGCCATTCCCCTTGGCCTACTGCTACAGTCCCTGATGACTGCTACAGTCACTCATGTGCCCTGCCCGAAGGGACCTTGCTTTCACACATGGCAATGGTGTACACAAGGTATGGAATCCAGGGACAGAGCGTCCTTTGTGTGCCCTGTGCCCCCCTGCCCTGCATTCCCTGCAGCATGATGCATTCCAGCCACCAGCACCTGCTCCCACGCCGCGCCTGCTGTTACACCAGCACTGGAACCCACATTTGTCATCGAGTCCCAGCTGTCACCCGTCCCCTGTCCCAGCCTGCTCAACCCGCTGGCTCTCAGTGCAGGGTCACGCTGACCCCCGGGAGGGGTTTGGGACCAAATCCCATGGGCTCGCTCCATGCACACCCCGCAGAGCCCACCTCACCCTGGCTCTCTGCCAGCTGCCGGTTGCGGGAGTTCTGCTGGATCAGGCGCTTCATCTCCTCCAGCTCCGTGTGCTCCCGCAGGTGGTGCCGCTTCAGGTTCTCCACGTGCTGGACCATCACCTCTGCTGCTCGGCTCATCCGGGCCTCCTGCGGCCAGCCAGGATGGGAGATCAGGCTCCCCATTCCCTGGCCCCTAAAGACCCGGGTCCCTGCCTGTCCTGCACTGTGCATCCATCCAGGGAGTGCAAACGCTCCCAATGACAGGCAGATCCCTTGCAGCCAGTACATGCATACATAGAATCATGCAATGGTTTGGGTTGGACAGGAGCTTAAGCTCATCCAGTTCCAATCCCCCCTGCCATGGGCAGGGACACCTTCCACTAGAGCAGGCTTCCCAAGGCTCTGTCTAACCTGGCCTTGAACACTGCTAGGGATGGAGCATTTACCACTTCTTTGGGCAACCCCTACCAGTGCGTCACCACCCTCACAAGGAAGAACTTCTTCATGTCATGCCATGTTCATGAAGTCAACATCAGCACCACGAGGAGGGACAAACTCCAGCAAGCCCAGGGATGGGTCCCCAAGTCCATCCACAGCACCCCTCAGAGCTCCCAGCCTTGCAGGGTGCAGACATCACAGACCTGATGTACAGCCCCCAGCTTCTCTGCAGCACTGGTTGCCCGCTCCACAGCAGCCGCCAGCACGGCCAGGCTGTGCTGAAGCTGCTCCAGTGTCTCCCTGCAGCCCGTGTCAGTGCAGAATGGACACAGCCTCTGTGGAGGGAAAGGACGAAGCTGCTGGAGCCAGGACTTGGGGTTGTCCAAACCCCTCTGGGGCTGGATGCTGGATGTCCCCAGCAGACGCCAGCCCCCTGCCCTGATGCCCACCTACCTCCAGAGCAGCCCGGCACTGCCCCAGCTCCTCCTGGATGTTTTCCTCTGCCGCATCCCGTGCCCGTCTCTCCACCTGCACCCGCTGCCACAGGGTGAACACGTCACAGCGAAAAGCCAGGGCGAGGTGGGCAAAGGCTGCCTGAGGGCAGGAGGGAGAGAGGTGGGACACAGGGTGAGGGGGATGCCAGCAGGGCCATGCGCTGCTGTCCCCAAGGCAGACAGACTCCCTTCCAAGCCACCAAGCAGGGCAGTGTGAAGGGTAGTTAGCATTTGCCCCAGAAGCCATTAGGCTGCTGTGTGATGGGGATGGTCCCCATGAGATGCCGTCCTGCCCAAGAGATGTGCCCCATGGGTAATGCATGTCAATCCCAAGCCCTCCTGGCAACAGCAGAGGCCAGGCAGATGCCAGCCCTCGCTGCAGGTCCCAGCTGACAGCGGAGCCTGACTCAGCCCTGGCACTCACAGCAAACTGGTTTTTATTAACGCGGCTTCCACCACCTCCCCGGCTTAGGGGCGCTTTGGGCAAGCTGCAGAGCACCCGGTGGGAAGGCCGAGGATGGGCTCATCTTGCTGTGGAAATGCAGCTGCCTCCAAACGCCAGCAGCATCGCCAGGAAAGGGATTTGTGGCTGCCAGGGGACTGCGGTGCCTGGAGGGTGGCCAGGAGCAGGGCACAGCCCTGGGACCATGAGCCAGCAAAGTCCCTGCGTCCCCCTTCCCCAGCGCTCACCTCCACATCCTGCTCTGTCAAAGCCACCCTGTGGAAAGAGAAGCGCTGTCAGGGAGGGACTGCGTGCTGAAAATGCCCTTGGTCTGCTCGCAGGGGTGCCAGGCACCTCCAGAAGCCCAAGTGCCCCTGGTCTGGAGGATGGCTCTTGTACAGTGGCAAAGGAGGCGAGGCCAATCCCTGGAGCACACAGTGCCCTGCTATGGGACCCCCCTGTCCCACAGTCCCCGGAGGTGCTCTCTGCTCTTACCCGTGCAAGCCGAGTCTCTCCAGCACCGCAAGCTCACTGGGGAAACCCAGCAGTGGCTCCTCTGGGGTTTCTGCATCTGCAGGAAGGCAGCAATGCCATGGGAGAAACCACATGTGAAGACTTTTCCTTGGCCTCTACTTCTCCCTCTGCCCTCCTGTCCCAGCAGGTAGCAAGTGCCCATGGTGTGGGACTATCCCAGTCCTTCCCCCAGTATCAGGGGGGCTTCAGGCCCCTCCAGACCAGTCTGCCTTCCCCATGTGCCCATCAAAGGAGATGACTCTCATCAGGCCACGCTGTTCCCACACTCATGCCCAGCTTCTCCAAGCCTTCCCCTACGGCAGGGATGTGGGAAGGGGACTCACCCACCTTCCTTGGCCCCAGCACTGTCCCTGGTGTGCACAGCCACCTCCTGCCTGTCCGTACCTGGCACCTGGGGGGCACAAGGGCACTGTTGGAGCAAACCCCTCCCTGGTGCTGGACAGCATCCCAACAAGAGCAGCACTGAGAAGCTGGGGGTCCACATGAGCCTGAGATGGTTGGAGAGAAGAGCCCCCCAACCTGCTGCCCTCCTCTCCCCTCTCACCTCACCAACGTGCTCCATGCTCTGCTCACTCCCAGCCAAAACCCCATCTGGGTGCCCCTCGGGACTGCTCATCCTCCCTGGGGACAAAACAGGGGGTTTGGAGCTGGGCAGCAGTGTCCCCTCCCCAGCCCGACACCACCTGAAGGGAGATCCCCAAATCCCCGCTGGCATTTCTGCAGGCTCTCGGGACAGGTACCCCCAGAATACCCCTGTGGGGTGAAGGGAGCTGGGCCAAGGCAGTGGGAGGACGGTGAGGTCAGCGCTGTTGAGGCAGATGCAGGGAATGGGGTTGGGGTCCCAGGGCTGGATGGGTGTGGGGGTGCAGACAGCTGCTGCCAGGCCAGGGGACACCCTCCTGGCTGGACCCATACGATGCTGCTCCAGGAGGGAGAGTGCAAAACCCACCCCATTCCCCCCATCCCCATGCTGGGCTGTCCTTACCTTCATCTGGAGACACAGGGAGCCCGGCCAGCTCTGCCTGCTGCTCCCTATGGAGAGAAATCCAGGTAACCCCAAAGAAACTCTGGCAGCAGAGGCAGTATCCCACCCGCTCTGCCCTCCTCCAGCACCACAGCCCCCCGCGATGCGTTGCTGCTCCATGGGCTGCAGCTCCAGACCTGGCTCCTCTCTGAGCATCCCCTGCAGCCTGCTCTGCCTCTGTCCCCGCTGTCCCTGGCACGGGCGCAGCAGCCGCAGCAGCGCCGGCACGGAGGAGCCGGCCGGAGCCGTTTCCAGCCAGCACTGAGTCACCAGCCCACGGCCCTGCTGCTCCTCACCACATCAGTGCTTTATTCCCTTTGCCCTGGCTGCTGAGCACCCCTCGCTGCGCACCGGCCTCTGCCCAGGCACAGCAGAGCCGGCTGCTGGCAGAGCCCAGGCACTAGCTCACATCACTATCACAGGGACTGCACATGATTTCACCCCCCAAGAGTGCACCAGGATGGTCTCACCACCCCAAAACTCTGTTCTGGGTGCAAGGAAGTCTGGCAGCTCTGCAGCATCCCTGCTCATTGGGATGGTGGAGCACACTGGGGATGGCAGACCACCAATGCATGGAGATACAGGGGCTGCAGCCTCATGTTGGAGCCCAGCAGCTAACTGGGAAGGGGTTTCAACCCCAAAACTTTGCTCCTGGCTCCAGAAGGGGACACAGTTGGGCTTTGCCCTCTTCTCCTTGCAAACCTGGCGGTCATTCTCCAGGAACGGTGGCTGCAGAAACAGCCACTGTGCCAAAATGGTGCTCGATGCCTTGTGTTGGAGACCAGCACCCAAATGGGAAAGGACTTGAACCCCAAAACTTTGCTACTAGCTCCACAAAGGGCTAGAGTCAGGCTCCTGCAAGCCTGGGGGTCATTCCCTACGAGTGGTGGCTGCAGAAGGGGCCCCTGTGCTGAAATGATGCTCCAGCCAGAATGCCCCCTTGCCTGGCACCGCCGTCCCCATCCCATCCTTGCCAGCACCCCAAGAATCCATGGGGTGAGCTTGTCATGCACATACCTCTGAGGTGAGGCGCTGGGCCCCTTTATCCTCTGCCTCTGCCGCCGTCGGCGCCCCTGGGCGAGCCCCTGTGCCTCCTCTTCCTCCTCTCCCAGCGAGGTCCCTGCGAGCGGCTTCATCTGCGAAGCGCGGAGGCTCCGGGACCAGCACACCTACCACGAGAGACACGGGTTAACTGCGCGCAGATGGGAGAACGCCTCTTAAAGGGGGTATTTTTAAAGCGTTTTCTCACCCAGCAGGAGCTCCAGGCTCCTCTGCTTTAGTGTGGAGGCATCTGTGGGAAAAGAGGTGGGGAGGCCCGCTGCAGTTCGGGAGGATGCTGCTGGGATTCGGGCGGGCACAGAGCGACGGAGGGAGGAATTAATACAAGCCCCAGTCCTGGGCAGTGTTGAAGCCGGATTACCCCCGTTCCCTTCCTATGGGGCAACTGGAGCTCCTGATGTGGCTCATCTCCATGGGGGGGAGATAAGTTTGCACCTATTGCACCTCCCTACACGCAGAATAGGAGAAACCTGCTGTACCTCAAGCATCCCCCTGCCAGGCTGGCTCCCAGACAGACAAATAGAAGAGATTCCCGAGACCAAGGGAGCTTGGACATCTCATTTAGGATGTTTTGCAATGTTTAAAACCCAGAGAAAGCCAGGAGAAAGTGCACAGAGTCCTGTTCCCAGCGCAGGGTGAAGGGATTCTCCTGCAGGATGGGTCTCCTCAGGAGCTGTGCCCACAGACACACAGGTTTGTGGTAGAAAGAGGGGGTTTTAGGGCTAGGACAGGAAACACAGCAGAGATTGAAGGGGACAGAGAAGAGGGACTGCTTGAAGTCCCACCGGCCTGCACAGAGCCTCGGCCAAGCTCAGTATAGGTCACGCCATCACCAAGCAGGGCCATCGCCCATCTTGCCCCCGTCCTGAATGGGGCCATCACCTATCTCCCAGATCTCAGCCCTGATGAAGATATAAAGCAAGCAGCACTTGGTATGTGACAAAACAAGCCCATTTCATGCCGACACACTGGAAATTGTCCCTGGTACCTCTACGCAGGGGCTCAGGAGCCCCCTGGCCATCAGGGATCAGCCAAACCCATCACAATGGAGTTTTCCTCAGGGCTGGTCCCTGATGCAAAGCACTCGCTCTGTAACAGCCACAGGAGACCCTGCTGCTGACTACAGCTCAGACGGGCCCCCAGCCACTCACTCTTTATGATGGAAATACAGCGGCATGCAGCACGGTGTAAATAACGCCCCGGGAAGCGCCTCTCCTCGGCGCAGCCACTTCCCCAAGCCCTCCCCGGGCCGTTACCTGCCTGGACGTGTCTCATGCAGCTGAAGGCAGAGGCTGGGCCCCCAGCTCGGACCCAGCACTCAGTCCCCCGCAGACGGGGCTTGCGAGCGCCCCGGAGGCGAGAGCGACCGCATCTGCGGCAGAGGAGCTGCCAGGGAAGAGCTGGATGTGAGAAGGCCTTTAAAGGACATGCATGAGAGCTCCCGCACGGGGCTGGGCCGGGCTGAGCGGTTTGCAGGTGGCCACAGAACCTCTGCTTCTGGTGCGGGGCCGGATCCTGCACCCGCTCTTTGGCGGTGGCAGAGCTGGGAACGGCCATGGCTGCTCCCTCCGTGCCTGGTGCCTGCAGAGCAGAGTGGACCTGAGCCTCAGCACCTCCCTGGCAGAGCTCAGGGCTCTGGCTCTCCGAAGCCTTGGGAACCCCTTCATGGCTTCGTGGGGGACACAGCACCAGGTTAAACCAGGGTAACAGATGAGGAGCCCCTGTAGCATCACATGTGCTGATGCAGGGAAGCCTCTCTCCCAGGACCCCAGTCCCTCTTGTTCCTCTCAGCAGCCCTACACCCCCCCCCCCAGCCATCACCCCCACTGCCTCTTCTGCCCAATCCTTTGCTCAAATCCTCTAAAGCTGCTTTTTCCCCCTAATGAGCTTATATGGAATCAGACTCGATGCTCAGCTCTACAGGGGACCGGGCTGCAGGCACGCAGCTGCTGTTTGCCTATGGGACCCTAATGCATCAAGAGGAACAAAGCAGGTCCTTGGGGTCTGCAAATCTCTTAAGCCCTGAGAGGTCAGCCAGCAATCGGCATCTCCCAGTCTAGGGGCAGGGCCGGCCCAGCATCATACCCGTCAGTAAGGGCCAGAGCACAGGATGCGGCCCCAGGGCCTGGGGGGGCTCAGAGAACCCATTTGCAGCTCCAAAGCAGGACCTGTGCCACAGTGGGATAAGGCTTTAGAAACAGCGATCAAAAGTGGTCCCCACCAGGTCAGGGCTTCCAACATCCTTGAAGCCCCCAGGGATGGGTTTTCCCCTCTTGGGGCAAACACCTCCTGCTTTGACCTGACCCAAAAGCAGAGCTGCTGAGAAATCACGAGTTGCCTTAGGGGAAGGATAGCCCCACATTGTAACACACATCTTCCTGTAACACACATACCCAGCAACACAAGCTGTGGTATGCACGATTAGCACAATTAATGACAATGAATGCATCATAAGTTCACACTGCCAGGACACGGGACATGCTGGAAGGCAGACTGCAACTGTCACTCTCTGCTTTACAGTCCTATACATCCCCTGCCTTTCCTTAAAATTACTTCCCCAGGGATTTCCTCTCTCCTCCAGCCCGTTCAGTTTTCTGTCATCTCCACGGGTTTCAGGTGATCACTTCAGCTTCTTTTAGAGAAGGACTTGCACAGACACATGCCCTGAAGCGAGCAGGGTGCCTGGCCCAAGCTGCTAGAGAATGCTCAGGGCTTGGGATGACAGAGCTGGATCTGTTCTGCAGGAGAGTACACCCATGCATGTCCATCCAGAGGCAGAGGAGTGTTCTCCCAATGAGTTTCCCAGCCGGCTGCTGTCTCAAAACACTGCTAAGTCTCCAGGCATGAAGTCAGGTTTGCATCAGCGCTGCCAGTCCTGGCTGCCTCGCCTCCAGGCACTGTTTCATTTCAGAAAGGGGAGAGCCAAGCAGATGAGAAGACCCTTCCTTCCCCTGGTCTGAGGCTCAGCACATGGAGCCCATCGCCCTGATGCCGTTCCCCTCCTCCAGGATCTGCTTTGGCACATGGAGCTAAACTATTCATTTTAATGCTGAGTGCTTTTTCTAGCCAAGCATGTGCTTCCTCCCCAAGAGAGGCTGCAGCCAAGCCTCCCATAACAGGGCATGGAAGGCAAAGCACCTTCAAAGCATGATGCTGAGCAGAGTGTACAAAACCAGAGGGACAGTGGACAGAGACCTTTGCACACCAGTGCCTTGCCACCAGCGCAGTCTCGTGTAGGAATGAGGCCCTGAGATACATGGTGAAGGGATTAACATGGTGTGGTAGCAGACCAAAACTCAACTTCTCTCTCACTCACCTAAATAAATACACCAAAGTGAGAAAGTGGCTGCTCCCCCCATCTATGACAGCAGCAGCTGGCAATTTGACTACAGCCTCACCTCCACTTCTCCCAGAGTATAAATGTGGCATTTGAATAGGACCCCACTTTGCAGACAAGTTGATGGGCTTGCTCCTCTCCCCTTGCAGCTCCATCAGGTGATAGCCAGGTAGAACCAAGCTTAGTGAATCACCAGTTGGTTTCTTCCAGGAGCTCAATCAGTCACTGGCTAGCTGTGGGTCTGAGAGCTAACACAGCAGCAGAATTTACCCACAGCAATTCCAAATCTGTAGTTCTGTTGCTTCGATAAACTTCACTATCCATGAATCCGTACTTGTGAAAGTTCTGATTTAACACAACGGGATGCATAGTGTTAAATAGGTGATAATGAGAAATGAAGCTGCACTCAGCCCCTCTGATCTCTGAGGACTGGCTGGAACACAAAGGAGTTTATTTCCTGCCAACTTTCGATATTCTTAATCTAACAGCAGTTCCTGCTGGCCCTGTACCCACAGAGCCTGCTTCCTCCCTGGGAGCAGCAGCCTGGCACCAGGCAGGCAGCAAATCAGGCTCTGTAGCCTCTGCTCTGTGTCCTGGCATGCCCATGGCTGCACCAAGTTGCTCTGGGGGGGACACAGACTTTAAGACACCATCACATTGGCTCCCCACAACAGAAAAGAGTGTTTCTGCTCAAAAACTTCTCTATTCCCTCCCCACACACATGTGCTTCAGTAAGAGGCAACGCTCCTCTTCGCAAACAACCCCATTCAAGAAGCTTCTAAAAGCATTTAATAAAGCACCCTTATTTTTAACGTATGAGCATCTAAACCATGATTGCAATCCAGGTGCTGTAGAGCCATAAGCAAAAGCAGCCCAGCTCCCCATGCACAGACCTGTTCTGCAGCGATGAATGAGACCCTGCTGGGAGATCTCCAGCCTCAGATGAGCAGCAGTGAGGGGCTGTGGGCTCTGGCTTTGCCCCTCGTGTCTCCTTCCAGCGAGCCCCCAGCAGCAATGCAGCACTTACTGCAAGGGCATCTTCCCAGGGCTGCTCCTGAGCAGCTCAGCTCCCAGAGCCCCTGGGCATCTGGATTATTCACTTCTCAGAGGAAAGCTGCTCACACTGACACTGCCTGCTACTGCTGATGCGGCAAACGTGATTTATTAGGTCTGTGCAGGAGGCCCGAGCATAAGCAACACCCCAACCCTCCAGCTAATCCATCTCTGTGTGACCCTCTGTCTCCCCAGCTGACAGAGACCTGGCAGCCGCCACACTACACAAGGGAGAACACGATTCTCTCACTATGATTAAAAGGCTGTTGGCAAAAGGCAGACCAGAAAGAGAGGTTTTGCTTCTTCTGATTCAGTTTGAAAGTTCAGGTTGAATTAAAAGGCCTGCTAAGCCTTCCCCCGAGTGGTTCAGCCTCACATCTGGGTGTCACAGCCACCAGACCTCAATCCAAAACTGCATCAGCATATTAGGGATTACATGCATGTGATTCACAGGTGTCAATGAAGCTTCTCCAGGGGGAAGCAGGGGACTATCAGCTTCCCTGCAAGAGGGGACATAGCGACTCCCTGGACGTGCCTGTAGGGGAAAGAGGCAGCCCCTCAGGGGATGGATAGGGACCATTTTGAGGACAAGGAATGGAAATGGAAAATGAAAAGTAGTTTCAGCACTTCCCACCAGGGTGTTGCACAGACTAAGTTGGTCTGGCTCCCATGTGGCTCTGAATAACATCTGTGAGTGCAGCATCCACATGCCTCTGCCCACCCAAAGAAGGTTCTTCACTGTACCACCATGACACCAAGATGCCACTTAGGGAGTGGAGACATCCTCTTGTCATGAAACTGGTGCAAAACTCACCATGGGAGAATGAGAAGGCAGCAGAGAGAAAACCCATGCACTTGCATAATATTAATTTCCTTTAAAACCAACCAAAACTGTTAGGCCAAAAAGGGAATTCCCCTCCATAGCATGAAGGAGGTAAATCTTTACAAATGGAGAAGGAAGCTGATAAGGAACCACTGTCAAATACCCCGAGTAAACAGGCTGAAAATTATACACTGCCTTCTACACACAGCTTGGGAAATGCATAAGACAAAGCTTCAGACCTTTCCCTTCACCAGCACTGCTAATAAATCAGGACAGGGGCAAACCCAGCCCTGGCTCTCCCTCTGCTCTTGGATACGGCTCTGCTGAGCTATAAAACCTGACTGATGTCTTATGCCGCATCCACTTGTTTGAACTGTTCAGGCTGGATTTGACAGTTCCTAAGAGGGTCAAGAGGAGTCAAAGAGTGAAGTTTTCCCTGCGGGTATTACCAACCACCACCTAAACAAGGAGTCTTCCACCAGCACTTCCAGCGTCTCCAGGGTTTGCTTCCAGTTCTCCTGCCGTGACTGTTATCTTGCACAGCGCAGAGATATCCACAGTACATGATAAACTGCAGCCAGGAGCAAAACCAGGGCTAAGGCGGCTCTTTCTACAAGACAATGTTATGCTTCCCAGAACAGGACCCCCCCCTTGCAGTTTGCAAAGCTGATCCTTCACTACTGCTCCATGCAAAAACCACATAGGCTGCCCCAAAAGGCAGCTCCCAGGATATCTAGATGAGTTTAGAAGTGCAAAGATGCATATTGCACATAGGAGCCAAGAACGGCCTGTGAGAGTCAGCCTGCTGCCTAAAGAAACCAGTGAGCAGCTATGAAACCAAGGAGAGATGCACACTGGAGCCAGACTTCAAAGCCTTTATTGCTGCCCAGTCCATAGAGGTGCCGGTGCTTCCCCCCAGTGCTCCAGGTATACACAGCCCATCCTTCCAGTTCTGCAGCAAGGACACCGGGAAGCTGATGACCAGGTGAGTTCTGGAGATGAGTTTGTCCTCAGTCATCTTCATGTGACCGACAGCCACAGCCCTGCGGGCAACGACACCGAGGTCACTGGGAGAAGCTTTGCAGGGAATCCATAAGGACCGCAGGCTGCTACCTAATAAAGCCAGAAGAGCAGGCTCAGACCTTGGTGATCAGGGCACAACTTCTATTTATGTCGTAGTTTGGGCAGCCCTACAATAGCTTCAATATACTCAGCTATTAACGCACTGGTATGCAAATGCATCAACAATTTGGCTCCCTGGAAGGTTTCCTCCCTCCAGCTAATGTAGACTTTGAAGCCTCATCAGTCCAGTGTCACCTAAAATAGCTTAAGAGATTCTTACTATAGTCAGAAATCTGTGCTCTCAGCATTAAGAGCATCACTTAATGCTTCAGTTTCGTTCCTCTGGCTGGATCAAAACGTTAATGAGTAAACTTGAAGCAGTAACATGTCTCACCTGCATGTTTGAATCCCTCTTCGCCCTTTGTAGATGGAAATGTTTATGAATTTTTAAACAGTTCCTTCCTCAAGTATGCAATGCTTCAAAGCCTCCATTAAAACTCCAGCACTACCTCCCTCGGAGTCCATCCCCTCCTTCCCATCGTTATCTTTCCACTCCTCCATCCACAGCGTGCCCAGATGAGGTTTCCAGTGGGTGCTTTCAAGGACACAGGATAAAAATCTGGCATCAGTGACACTATAAAGCACTTTTATTAGCACATGACCGAACACCTTGCAATGGGCAGTGTCATCATTGCTGCATTGACAAGCAGGAAAGTGACATACAGAGGTCCCTGTAAACCAGAAAAAAGGCAGATTTAAAGCAGACAATCCAAGTTTACCAGGCCTTCATCTTGATCCCACTCTCCTGCATCCTGAGGTTTGTAAATCCCAGCAGACCTCGCAGCTCACTGCTGCACCACCCAGAAACCAGCATAGCCAAGGTGCACAGAACATACCCCTTGTGCCTTGGCGCCTTCAAGCCATGGTAAAAATCACAAGGGTAAATTAAACCTGGTCCAGAATGACAATATTCAAACAGGCTCAGATTGGTTTCTGTCTTAATTCAGCCATGTGTTACGGGCATTAAGGCCCAAGGACCTCCAAACTCCACCATGCTACGTCGCTTGCTAGGTGCTCTGAGCCACCACAACGTTGGAAAAACACTTCCAATAGGAAGTGTTGGGCAAGATGGCTTCATTCTGGCTACCGGGATGCCACTGTGGGCAAGGAGAGGGGGAGCTCTGCCAGCTTTATAGACTCGTAGTCATTTAGGTTGGAACAAGACCTTTTAAGATCATTGAGTCCGACCACTGCACAGACCCGGCGCCAGGAAGGAGCAGCCCGATGCTTTGAGCACTGCCACTGGGGAGAACCGAAACAAGGCTGGAGGCACACACAGGAAGCACTGCGCCTGCCCTGCTCCGTTTTCAACCTAGCAGCAGATCCGGGTTGATTAAAACAAGAAGCGACACCTGCGAACAGGCCAGCCCCTCCACAGCTCCTCCTCTGCCGCCATCTTGGGAGAGGGGTGGAGGGAGCCGCCATCTTGAGTGTGGCGGGACCGGAAAGCCGGGAGCGCCATCTTGAGTGTTGTGGAGGGGGAAGGCTGCGGGCGCCATATTGAGTGTGGCGGGACCGGAAGGCTGGGGCTGCCATCTTGAGCGTTGTGGAAGGGGAAGGCTGAGGGCGCCATCTTGAGTGTGGCGCGGCGAGAAGACGGGGGCGCCATCTTGAGTGTGGCATGGCACCCATGGGAGGCCACTCACACACAGAGCAAACAGAGAGACAACAGGAAATACATTTATTGTTTAACCAAGAAACCTTCATCTTCAAGCCTAACGGCATGCGTGGGGCTGGGTCGGTGCTGCCCAGTGACAGCCCACCTCAACCGAGGCTGGCCAAGTGCAAGGCACCACTGCAAAGCCCCAGGATAAAGGCAGGGGTGCTCCAGTCCCAGCCCACACATGCTGGGTCTCCATCCCGCTGCTGGTGAGCCCAGGAAGGCACTGGGCTGCAGTCACCACCACCTAAGAGCAGGCTCTGCCCAAGGAAGCCATTGCTTTGTGGTTCTCTTTGGTGCTCACCTGGGTGAAAGAGAATGTCAAGGACAGGGAACCCCACCGGCACCAAGCTCAGCATGGCTTTAGTGGGTACTTGTGTTTCCCATCGCCAGGAGCACAGCATCCCCAGCAGCGCAGCATCTCCCCGGAGCGCAGCACCCCCAGGAGCGCAGCATCCCCCCAGCAGCGCAGCATCCCCCGGGGCGCAGCATCCCCCCCAGAGCGCAGCATCCCCCTGGAGTGCAGCACCCCCCGGAGCGCAGCATCCCCAGCAGCGCAGCATCCCCCCGGAGCGCAGCATCCCCCGGGCGCAGCATCCCCAGCAGCGCAGCATCCCCCTCGGAGCGCAGCATCCCCACGGAGCGCAGCATCCCCACGGAGCGCAGCACCCCCAGCAGCGCAGCATCCCCCGGGTGCAGCATCCCCCAGGGCGCAGCATCCCCCCGGAGAGCAGCATCCCCACAGAACGCAGCATCCCCCCGGAGCACAGCATCCATCCCCCTCACCTGTCCCCCTCCAGCACCCCCTGCAGTGACCTCCTCAGAGCCCCATTGCTGCGGCCCAGCGCTGCGGCCAGGCTGCTCCGGTGGGACGGGCTGACCTGGTGGGAGAGGAGCCAGGAGCCGAGAGCTGCACCACCAATGCCCCGGGGTGCGAGCCCGGCCCCACTCACCTGGCTCTGGTACATGGTGAGCACGGCCATCACCAGCCCAGTGTATCCCAGCGCCGTGCCGAGGGCTGGGGCCTGCCGGCACAGTGCCAGCACCAGCCCATCCAAGAGCTCCGGGGGCAGCACCTCCTGGAAGAGCCCCAAGCAGGGAGGTGACCGGGGCCTTGCTCCGGGGCTGCTGGAGCCGGCAAGGAAACGTGGCGGGGGGCAAGGGGGTCCTCACCTGCCGGCCCAGCACAGCCTGAACTATGGGCAGGAGCTTCTCTGACAACGGCACCTCCAAGACTTGGCTGCAAAGGACGGGGAGGAGCGGATGTGATGCTCCCATGGAGCTGCCGGCCGGTTGGAGCCGCCGCACCCGTGGCGTGGGGCTGCTGCTCCTGTGAGCTCCCACCTCAGCACCAGCCGCACGGAGTCCGGCTCCAGGCACTCCTCCACCAGCTCGCACAGCAGCTTGGTCTGCTCAGCACCTGCAAGGGTAATGCACAACGGGCACAGAGCCTGAAGAGGCTGCCAAACCCATGGGGATGTGCCCAACGCCCCCTTCACACAGGGGTACACCCAGAAAGCAGGTACTGCTCCCTTCTGCTGCTCAGGATAGGCCTGTGCCCATCTGCAGCAAGGGTTTCATTCGCACCAGCCCCTAGAAGGGGATGCTGCTGTGGCAGCGATTCCTGCAGGACCCTCTTCTCATGCCAGCAGAGCCTGCCTGGGGCGGTTTTGGCCCCAGCATTAGGAGCTGCCAGGAACCCTGGAGTCCATGGAACGGGATGGCAGCTTCCCTTTGGGAGCGCTGATGCTGGGAGCCAGCCTGGCATCCTAACTCCCAAGTGTTCACCTGCCCAGATAAACCCAGCAGCATTCCTCCATGGTTCCTAATGTATTTTGGGCAATAAACTGTCTCCCAGGAGAAGAGAAGCTGGGGCTCCCCTTGCTGATGGATGCATCCCATGACCCCTCTCCATTTGCTAGCAGATGAAGCCTCCTGCAAGCCCATCACACCTTCCCCAGGCTCCTGCAGGACCGCAGCCACCAGGACACGACAGAAGGGCTGGGAATACTTGGAGCAAAACGAAGTGAGGGCAGCCATAAGGTGTCGGGAGGGCGGCTGGGTGAGGGACAGGACCTAGGGACAAGGAAAGGCAGATGGGGATGGCGGGGAGGGAAGCGGGGGCCAGGAGGTCTCTGCTGCTCCTGCACGTACTCGCCTGAGGAAGAGCTGCTGCGCCAGGGTGGCTGCGCTGGTGTAGCCGAGCTCAGGGCTCAGAACCAACAACCAGCTGCAGAAACGCAGCAGGAGGTGCTCCGGGCACGTGGAGAGCTGCAGGAAGGAGCACAGCCCCTCGAGCTGGGGTGGCAGAGGGGCAGCACATTAGGGACGCTAGAGACAGCAGCACCAGCAGCTGCAGTGGGATGCTGAGGCTCACCTGGGCAGGAGAGCAGCTGTTCAGGACGTGCAGCTCAGGGGGGATGCTGAGATCTGGGTGCTGGAGGGAAACCTTGAGTAGCAATAAACCAACCACAAAACAGCTCCAGGGCTTTTCTGCTCACTGCCACCCCCTGCACTGCCACACAGGGTGCCCACAGACAGCAAACCCCTGTGGCAGCAGCCTCCAGCCATCGCTGTAAACCCACCTCCTCTCCCATCCCTTCCAGAGCCCCTGTCTTGAGCCCGTTGAGACCACCAGCTCCAGGAGAGAGACAGAAGCAACACTTACACTGGACTCCTGCAGCAGCATCTTCAGTCTCGGTCCATGCAGCTGGAGAAAATGAGATGAAGGACTAGGAATCGGAGTGTAAGGGCTCAGTGGCTGGAAGGGGGAAGCCAACCCTGCCCAGTACCTGCAGAAAGGACTGGACCTCCACTGCCACCTCTGCCTGGGAGATCTTCCTGGGAGCTTCCTGCTGGGAGCCTTCCGGAGCAGCCCCACAAGGGCTTTGGGCAGCTCCATCTCCTGAGGACTCCTCTGGCGTCTCCTCTTCCCTCCCTGCCACATCCTCAACCTCCCGCATTCCCGGGGGGTCCAACACCACCTCCTCCAGCAGCATCCTCTTCCCTTCTCTCTCCTCACCCAACTCCAGGCTCTCCTCTGACCCTTCCTCGTGCTTCCCACCGTGAAGCACAGAGTCAGCCCCATCCCCAGTGCCACTGGGCTGTTTGCTGAAGCACCAGTTCAGTTTCCTTCGCCCCTCTGCATTGTTCTGGCCCATTCTCTGGCCCAGGCACCTAAGCTGCTGCTGGCACATGGAAGACAAGGGACCGGGAGATGGGCAGCACGCTGCTGCCCTTGCTTCCTGCCGGAGCAGATTCCCCAGCGCCCGCACCCAGGGATCCACATGGGAATCCTGCTCCAAAGCCTGGAGCAGCCGATCCAGGCAGCTCCCTGGCACCAGGGCTTGCACCATGAGCAGCAGGGAGAAGAGGTTTCTCTGGCACACAACAGGGAGCAGCAGCAGCCGCGGCTTCCTGGATAAGGGGAGAAAGGGGAAAGATCAGAGCAAATCCCTAAATCCTTGTTTCCCGTGGAGCAGGGTCTAATGGGCCCAGGAAGCAAGAGGAGGCAGAAAACACAGAGCACCTCAAGTTGGAAAGGACCCATAAGGATCATAGAGTCCAACTCCCTGCTCCTCACAGGACTACCTACAGCTAAACCATATGGCTAAGAGCATCGTCCAAATGCTCCTTGAACTCTGAACCCAGGTTGAGCCATGCCTTATACCTTCACCAGCTTTTGCAGGCAAAGAGCAGCAGGTCCCTGCCACAACCCTGACATCACTCCAGCCCATGGGAAAGAGGCTGTGCGGTGCTGAACCGGGCACCTGGCACCCCAAACCTCCCGCAGATCACACACATCCAACTCACAGAGCCAGGGCCCCCTCCGGCCCGTCCAGCGCAGGCTCCTCGGCGCACAGCGCTGCAGCGAAGCTCTGCCAGGGAAACACGGGCCCTGGTCCCTCCCCGGGCTGGCCCCGCTGCAGCATCCGGAGCGCAGCCAGTGCCCCACGGGGGCCGGAGGCCAGGGCGTGGAGCAGGAGGCGGCTGGGCTTGTCCAAGCTCCGAAGCCAGGGCAGCCCCTGGGGCTCCATCGCCTGCAGGGGAATCGGGGAGAGGCCTCACACGGGGCGCACCGGGGAGGCTGCAGGGAGGACGGGTCCACCCAGGACACGCTCTGGAGCAAACCCCCCTCGCCAGCTCCAGTCTGGGGGCTGCCCTTACCTGCAGGGGGGGCCGTGGTTATCCTCACCACCCGAGGATGGAGGAGCATCACCGAGGAACCCCCGCCAAGCTCTAAACCCGCTCCGCTCGCAGCTCCCCACCACCCGCTCAACGGGACAAGAGGGGAACCGCCGGGGGCTGCTGGCGGTGCCCCCGCCCGGAGCAGCCCTGATGCCGCCGGGGACCCGCACACCGGGGCTGGGTTATCCCGGTGCCCGCCCCCGGTAACCCGCGCTGGGAGACAGACAGACACCGCTGGGAGACACACACAGCACGGGCAGGGACCGGAAGGGGACCGGGTACCCTCCCCTCCCAGGGACCGCCGGTGACCCGGAATCCGCGCCACTCCACTTCCGGGCCCGCCCCTTTGGAGAAGCGCGCCACATATGCAAATCAACCGCCCATGCACGTTGGCTTCGTTATGCAAATAAACCCTTAAAGGGAAACCCTCGCATCCCCCCCGGAGCACAGCCGCGGCGGTGGGCGTTCAGAGCCCGCTTTATTTCATCACGTCCACGTTGAATAAAAGCAGTTTAAAACAGCGCCCGCAGCTCCCCCACGGCCCCGTGTGCACTAAACCCCCAGCCCGAAACCCAGCCCCGGCCCCCCTCGCCGGTCTCCACCACCAAGGTGAGGGCAGGAGAAGGGGGGGGTCTGTGCCCGTTGCACTGAGAACCCCCCAGCTCCATCACCCCCTGGCTTCCCATGGGATGTGGGACCTGCTGAGGGTCCATCAACACGGGGGTGATTTCCCCATCCCACCCCATCCAGGGTGCAGCACCCCAAATCAGTGTTGGAAGCAGCCCAACACATCAAAAGCTGATGCTTCCCCCCTCCCAGAGGACATTCCCTTGCCACCAACAGTGGGGCACCCCATGTGCGGCACCCCATGGCTTCAGTCAGAGTCACTGAATTCCACCAGGAGCATCTCGTGGCTGTATCTGGAGTATCGGAAGTCTGCCTCCAGCATGGCCAGGCTGAGAGCCCACTCCAGCACGCAGAGCTCCTCGTCTTCCTCGTCAGAGCTCTGCAAAGAAGGCTCCTGCAGCATAGGAGATAGGATGAACCCCAGCCTGGAGCCCTGCCCCGGCCCCCCCGGCTGTGCCACCCCACTTACAAAGGGCACCCTCGGGTGCTGCTGCCTGTGTGGGGGTGGCGGGCGGGCAGGCAGCTCGTGCAGGTAGATGCAGTCTGACTTGAATGGGCAGCACCCGCGGTTCTGGGCAAAGAACTTGCACCTGATTTTCCTATGGGGTCAAAGCACGGTTGTGGGTACAGGTCCTGGAGCAGCGCAGCGCCCGCAGGGCCGCACACTCACCCTGTCCGTGCCTTGAAGGCCTTGATGAGCTTCTCCTTCTCAGCCCCCTCCGAGACCCAGTATTTGTGGGGGATGTAGTAACTGGAGGTGATGCGGCATTCTGGGCAGGCCCTGGCAAAGGAGATGGGTGCAGGTCCCAAAAAGGGAGCAGGGAGCATGGGCCTAGCACCCACACTGGCTGGTCCCACTACTACAGCCTCATCCAGCATCCCCAACCCCATCGCAACCCCAAATGCCTGTTCCCAAAGGGAAGTTGTTCCTTCCCAAGACCCAGGGGAGGATCTCAGGGTGCAGAAAGGGTGCTGGTGCCCACCCCAGCACATCCCCATCCCCGCTCACTTGATGACGGTGCTCTGGAAGTCGCGGCTGCGGCGCCACTTGCGGATGCAGCCCAGGCAGTACGCATGGCTGCAGTTGGGGAGGATCCCGAAGAGCCGCTCCTCTGGAAGCAGCTTCTCGTACACCCGGTCCATGCAGATGCCGCACACCACGGCCTCACTGCGGGCCCTCAGTGCCTCGCTGGACACCGGCGCTGCCGCAGCACCCGGCTCCTTGGGGACCTGCAAGCGGAGCCACACGGCATTGCCCATTGCCACTGCCCCACAGGGACTGACAGGGAGCGACAGGGCCCGCCCCGTGCAGGAGACCCCCAGCCCACCTCTGCGAGGTCAGTCCTTGTCCCCGTCTCCTTCCCAGGGTCAGAGGAGCTGGGATCCAGGTGCAGCACTCGCGCCTGGGAGCCTGCAGGCAGGAGAGCTCTCAGAGGGGAAAAGCACATCCCCCCCCCCCTCCATCCAAGAGGCAGGATGGATGCTGCAGAGCACAGGCTCTGTTACGGTCCCAACCCCACTAAAAGCTGCTGCCCACATCTGGGCATTGCTTCAGATGGAGGGAGGTGGGGAAAAGCCATGCATGGAGTGCACGGCCGTGACCAACCACCCCAGCATCCCCAGGCACCCACCTGAGGCCCCCCGAGCTCGTGCAGGAGCAGCCTCCCCGCCGATGGCCCCACGCGGGACATGCCCATGCGCGGGGATCTTCTCCTTGGCTTTCCTCTCCTCAGCCTCCACGCTTGGGAACTTGAAGGCCACGTGTGCCACGCTGGGGGCAGCGGGGGCCAAGCTGCGCCGGGCTCCTCCCCAGCCCCGGGCCGTGGCCATGGGTGCGGGCTCCGAGCCCCAGTAGCTGCGGGGGACGGGGGGCACGGGGCCATAGCGGGTCCCCACCGGCACTGGCTCCTCTCGGATGTGCTCGTAGCTGGGCAGACAGAGGTCCCGTAAGGACACCTCCCGGCTCCCGGCCCAGCCCCGGGGCATCAGCCCCCGTCCTCGCTGCCTCTTTACCTGCACCGCTCGCCGTAGCCGCAGAACCCGCTCTGGAAGTACCTGCAGGTCTGCGCTGATTTTCTGTCGTGCGCGAAGCGGCAGCTCTGGCCCCAGCGGCAGAACCCACGGGAGAAGTTCCTGGCAGCCCCAGAAGCGGCAGGGCCGGGGTCAGACCCGGGACCCGCCTGCCTGGATGGGGCCGCGTTTTCGGAGCCCCCCGGCTGGTGTCTGGGCTCAGGAGCCCTCCCCAGGGGCAGATCCCAGCGGGAGCCAGGGCTCTCCCTGCCCCATGCAGCCTCCCCTCCTCCGGGCTAAACAAAGCCCAGGGCTGGGCTGTCCGGGGGGGCTGGAGCATGAGGCTGGGGGAGCAGGGAGAACCACGGGGGTATGGAAGGCATGGAAAGGGGCAGGAATCCTCAGCCTGGGGCTGGCAGGGAGGGGGGGCCCTTGGGGTGCTGCTGGGGACCCCCAGCTCCAGAGCAGGGGAGCCGGACAGGACAGACCCGGTCCCCTCCATCCCCTCACCCTCCAGAGGATACAGGAAAGGGGGGTTCCGGGGCATCACAAACCATTCCCTGTCCCCAGAGCGAGGGATTCACAGCCCCATCTCCAGCCTTTCTCCCACAGAAGCTGCTCCCAGCCCCCCCTTTCCCCCCAAAGCCCTACCTGCACAGGGGTCTCAGGCAGCCCCCGCGGGCCACCAGCGAGCCCGGCTCCATCTCCTCCTGGCAGCACGAACGGCCGGGAGACCTCCTGGGACTACTCCTGGCCTTGGCCCGTGGCCTGCTGTTGGCTGGGACAGAGTTAATTTTCCTCCCAGGCGCTGGTGCAGCGTGTTTTGGATTTGGGGTGAGAACAGCGCTGATAACACACGGATGTTGTAGCTGTAGCTGAGCTGTGTTTACACTGAGCCAAGGACTTCTCAGCTACCCAGACTGCTGCAGCAGCGAGGATGAGGGGGGCACAAGGAGCTTGGAGGGGACGCAGTGGGGACAGCGACCCCCACTTCCCAAAGGGATATTCCAAGACCATACAGTGCTATGCTCAGGATATAAACTGGGGGGGAAGCTGGCTGGGGGCTGCTGCTCAGGGATGGGCATCAGTCAATGAGCAATCACAGTGAGCAATCAGGTGGAGACCTTAGAGCTGCTCCAGTGCCTAAAGGGGCTGCAGGAAAGCTGGAGAGGGGCTTGGGACAAGGGCCTGTAGGGACAGGGCAAGGGGAATGGCTTGAACCTGCCCGAGGGGAGACTGAGCTGAGCTCTTAGGCAGAAGCTCTTCCCTGTGAGGGTGCTGAGGCGCTGGCACAGGGTGCCCAGAGAAGCTGTGGCTGCCCCATCCCTGGCAGTGCTCAAGGCCAGGTTGGACACAGGGGCTTGGAGCAAGCTGCTCCAGTGGAAGGGGTCCACTGGGTTGGACCTGGATGGGCTTTAAGGTCCCTTCCAACTACAGCTGCTTTATGGAGGGGTTGGGGCAATGGTTTTCCCTGGGGGCACTCTATGGGGGCAGAGGGAAGCTGGGGGGCAGCAGCTGCTCCCCACAAACTCTTGGCTGTTGAGAGCTGATAAATCCTTTAAATCATGGCAAATCCATGGAAACCACACCAAGTCCCACGGGAGCTGCTGCAACCCTCCCGAAGGGCAGGTCCCCAAGGGGCCTGAGTGAAACCCCACACGGAAAGGCTGGATGCCACAAAGGTTCTTAAATATTTAGTTCAGATTTATTTAAAGTCAAGTCAGTTTGTGGACACTATTTATATTATTAAAAACACTTGGAGGTTGGTACTTCTAGCAAAAATATACATTTCAGTTGGAGGGTTGGTAACGCTGGCGAGGAGGAAGAGCAAAAGGTTCCCCAGGTGAGGAGCATGAGTCCCATGTGGGCCACGTTGAGGACAAATCCCCTGGGATCCATCCAGTGCCTTCCCCCAGAGGGCTTCAAAGTGCTTTAGAAACGGTCATTCATAACCCCCCTGTGAGGTAGGGAGGGGAAAGGGAAACTGAGGCACGACAGGAGCTGGGGGGCAGCAGCAGGGGCAGGTTTGGGGCCAGCCAGCCCTGGGAGGGGACACCCAGAGCAATTCCCTTGGGGTTTTAAAGGAATTATTGCACCAGGGAAATCTGCTACCCTGAAGAGGAGGAAAATAAAGTAAAACTGACTGATTTGCTCCCACAACCCCTCCTTGGGAACACCAGGATCACAATAAGGCTGCTCAGGACATACGGGACCACAAGCTGCAGGTGGGCAGGTCCCAAGGGGGACTGAGCCCTTCCTGGAGCTGTCTCCCCAATGCTGGGGGACAGGAAGCTCCTGTTCATCATCAGCAACCCACCCTTGGTCTCCCCTTTTATAAATCCATGGCATTTCTACCAGTTTAGAGCTCCAAAGCTCTCTGCAACCAACACAGCACCTAATCCCTGTGCTCCTCCTCCGAGCAGAGAGACAATCCAGCTCCCTTTCACATAGGGGAAACTGAGGCAGGGCAGTTAACAGGTCAATGCCCCTTCAGCATCACAAGCACTTCGGGCTGGCTGTGGCTCTCCCCTTGCTGGTGTTTCTGAAGGCTTTGTGTGCTCAGGTACTGACAGGGAGCTCTGCTGCACAACCCCCAGACCCCCAGGCTGGGGAAGGGGCTGCAGGACAAGCCACAAGCCCTGCACCTCATCCTGACCAGCCCCAGGCCCTGCACAGGCCTTTCTGGTAACTGACATCCCTGCAGGACAGCCTGGGGAGCACAAAGATTCCATCCTCTGCTCTGAAGGTGGGTTCTGATGAGCCAAACCCACCTCCTCCTCCCTCTGTGTCTCACATGGAGGTGCTGAGCAGGATCCCTCTGAAACAGTGGTACCAGGAGCAAGGGAAGGCAGAGATCACACAATCCCTCTGGGAGACAGGAACACACCACACACCGAGGGAAGGGGGCAGCAGCTGAGGGTCTCTGCTAGGACCACACCACCCACCTTCAAACACTCTGGCTTTTCTTTGGGATAGGGAGAAACCCTTTCATTACCCTGTCCCTCACGGCTCAGGCCCACATCTTCGGAGTGCAATACAAAGATCAAGACCCACTGTCAGTGCTGTGGCTGGCCCCAGCAGATACCTGCACCACGCTCGGGTGTCCTAATGACCACACCATCTCCCACCACCCCCAGGCTGCTGGAACCCCCACCATGTAAACAGCGTGGTCGCTCCAAGGAGCAGCTGAAGAGCTGGGCTGTAGTAACGGAAACTGTAGCTTATGGTTTGCCTTTGTACATTTGTTAGTGTGTGTTAACAGGAGCCCCGGGCCTAGCAGGAGGTGCTGGTGGCATCTCGCCCTATGTACCGTACGTCAGGGTCACGTAGAAAAGAGTTTCCAGTAGAAGAAATGGAAGACGTGGGGGGAAAAGGTTTTCTTTGTTTCTGTACAAAGAGTCTCGATGGGAATCATGGCTTCATTTGCATAAATAACAGGTCCTCAGTACATGTCCTTGTAGATCTCCTGCAGAAGAGGGTGCAGAGATGTCTCGGTCTCTGTCTTCTTGATCTTCTGCACGAGCTGGGCGTGCTCTGTCACGAGCTGCCGCAGGTCTGCCATCTTCTGCAGCAGCTTGGGGAAGAGGTACTGGGCATCCGGGTGGTTGGACTGCAGGTGGAACTCCAGCGCCCGCAGGATGTTATCCTGGATCTCCTCCACTTGCTTCACGTTCATCAGCCCGGGGCGGTCTGTGGAGAGGAAGCTGCAGGGTTACGGTGGAGCCCTCCAGAGCACCTGCTCCTCCTGGGAAAAGGGAGACGGGGACTGTAACCCACCCACCATGGCTCCAGCCCCAGCAGCTACACCAGGGGAAGCGCGCCCTCAGCCAACACATCCCACAGCAGCATACAAGGAGGTGCCACTTCTCACTGCTGGTCAGCACGAGCGGCACGTCAAGGGAAGGGATCCTGCCCCTCTACTCTGCCCTTGTGAGACCCCCGCTTGCAGCACTGCATACAGTTCTGGTGTCCCCAGAATGAAAAGGACATGGAGCTGTTGGAGCAAGTCCAGAGGAGGGCTACAAGGATGCTCAGGGGCTGAAGCACCTCCTGTATGGAGCCAGGCTGAGAACATTGGGGCTGTTCAGCCTGGAGAAGAGAAGCTGCGTGGAGACCACAGAGCAGCTTCCAGTGTCTGAAGGGGGTACAAGGATGCTGGAGAGGGACTCTTCATCAGGGACTGCAGTGATGGGACAAGGGGTGATGGGTTCAGACTGAAACAGGGGAAGTTCAGGTTGGATCTAAGGCAGAAGCTCTTCCCTGTGAGGGTGCTGAGGCACTGGCACAGGGTACCCAGAGAAGCTGTGGCTGCCCCATCCCTGGCAGTGCTCAAGGCCAGGCTGATGGAGCCTTGGGTGACACAGTCTAGTGTGAAGCATCACTGCCTGTATCAGGGGTTGGAGCTGGATGATCTTAAGGCCCCTTCCAACCCAAACTGTTCTGACTCTACACACCTTGCTCTCAGTTCAAGCTTGCCAGGCATCAACTGCCATGAACAAGCACTGGTTTTGGAACTGTTCTGTTCTGTTCTCCCATCCCCCTAAGACACCCCTGGCTGATCTCCGGCACCCCTCAGCTGCAGCTCAGGTCCCGCAGCACACCCCAAACCACCTCTCAGTACAGGAGGACTCTTCTTGACACTTGCATGGCCAAGAGCAGCCGCTCACCTCCGCACAGGATGATGGCAGCCACAAACAGAGACAGGTCGCTGTCATCCAGCTCCAGCGCATTGAACTTCACTGCAAACTCAAACTTGGGCTCCATGATCTCATTGAAGGGCTTGCGCAGGCTACGCAGGAACTCCCGGGTCACAAAGCCATTCCCGTTGGCCACCAAGAGCCCATCCTTGTTCATGATAGAGGCCAGCATGGCAAAGATGGCCTCGTGCACCCCGTATTTCAGCAGAGTCACTTGGTCGTTCAAGTAGAGGCCTATGAAGCTGGGGATGCTCTTGGCAAACTCAGTGAGCTCCCGCACAGTCTCGACCGTGGTGCACTGGCAGCGGTAGAAGACGTGCACCCCGATCTCCTTGTAGGGGGGGATGCCGTTCACCAGCTGCTTCCACACCAGCCCCTTTTCTGCCTGCCACAAGGTGTCCATGTCATGGATCACAAAAGGCTGCTTGAAAAAGAAGCAAGCAGTTAGGAACACATTCACGTCCCTGCTCATTGAAGGGGGTTGGACTAGATGGCCTCTGAAGGTCCCTTCCAACCCAAGCTATTCTATGAACATGCTGCAGGGACTCGAGATACCAGCTCTGCCAAGGACACTTGCATTTGTCTGCCTGTCCCTTTGCTGTTCTCTTCCTGCTGGGGCAATCTTCACCCCCAGAACAGCACAAGTCTGCAGAGGAACAGGAATTTGCCCAGCCAGGGGCAGGACCTGTAGAGCCCATCTGGCTGCAGCTGAGAGCTGCTGCATGGGGAACAGCTACAGCAGGATCCCCCAGGGAACAGCCCCCCGTGTTGGTCATGGCCAACCCTGCCTGCCCTGGGGAGGGAACTTACTGGGGTGCTGCTGGCCTTCCCGGTCAAGATACCTCTCGCCTTCTTTTTGGTCATGTTGAAGTTCTTCAGGTAGGCGTTGTAGATGTGCTTGGAGAATGCCTTCAGGTCGGCCACCTGCGGGTTCTGGCAGCTGATCTCACTCGCTGTCAGCCCTGCCACCAGCTTCCTCTTCTCTGCCTCGGGCATGCGGCCAAAGCGGATTGCTGGGGGGCAACACCAGGGGTCAGGACACTGGGGGTGATCCCAGGGGATGCATCCAGGGAAGCAGCATCTGCTCTGCCACCACAGAAGTCTGCTGGTGAACACCAGCACAATGCTTCTCTGGGGATGCAGCTCCTCCTGCACTGACACCTTCATGAACCAGCTGTTACTGCTCCTGGTTACTCCTTCCAACACAGCCTCACACCAGCTCCCATCCCCACTCCTCTGGGCTCTCACACAAACCCCTTTCCCCACATAAACACCTTTACTTGCCCAGGAACAAGATGGTTACACCTGAAGCTTGAAAACCCCAGCACAGAAGAGCAATCTGTGTGTCCAGCTGCCTCTGGGCCAACCCATAAGGGAAAGCCACGTGCCACCAGCCAGCCTGCACGATGGGGACAAACCACCCCTTCTTGTGGAGAAGGGGATGAAGAGTCAGAGTCTCCAAGCACTGTGTTTGAAAGATGATCCCCTTAGCAGGATGACAGCAATGGGCTAAAGCAAAGCCACATAGAGACCCCTCACAGGAGGGCAGGTGGCCCCTTGGCACCCAGCAGCGACACTCACCATTATGGGACATTCCCAGTGAGAGGCATTTCTGGAAGCGGCAGTACTGGCACTTGTTCCTGTTCTTCTTCTGAATCTTGCAGCTCCTCTTGCACTTCTCATACTCCAGTTTCATGCGGATCGTCCGGCGGAAGAAACCCTGCAGGTGGGTGGCACAGAGGGGAACAGCAGCGTTAGCACCTCTGGCTTGGGGCAAGGCAGGGTTCTTACCCTTAGGAGCCTCATGGGGGTTCAGGCGGGTGGGGAGGAGCAGCCCTGGGGCTCTGACACAAGCAGAGTCTGCACCTCAAGGAGAAGTTGTGTGGTGGGAGAAGGGGCTGCAGAGGAAGGGCTCTGGGTTGGTGCTGGGAGCTGTGGGAGTGACTCTGCAGCAGAGAGGGAGGCAGGGACAAGCGAGCCCCAGCCTGCAGGAATGTCTGGCAGGGCCTGGGCCCAACGCAGCCCCACTGGCATCTGCTGGGGGGGAAAGAATTTCAGAGGCGCATCCAAGCTGCGGCCAGTGATCCCAGGGGGATGAACACACGGCTCACTGCTGAGCTGCAGCAGAGAGCATCTTTAACAGCAAAGCCAGGGTCCCCATGGGGACAGGCAGATTTGCCTTCCAAAGTAAATCATGATGGGGCAAGATTTAGGCCTTACACATCTCAGCTGCCTCCCCCAGGCCACTATCTGTCTGCCTGTACTCTCCACACTGGCTGCAAATGATGTTCAGCCTGGAGAAGAGAAGCTGTGGGGAGACCTCAGAGCAGCTTCCAGTGTCTGAAGGGGGTACAAAGATGCTGGAGAGGGACTCTTCATCAGGGACTGCAGTGATGGGACAAGGGGTGATGGGTTCAGACTGAAACAGGGGAAGTTCAGGTTGGATCTAAGGCAGAAGCTCTTCCCTGTGAGGGTGCTGAGGCGCTGGCACAGGGTGCCCAGAGAAGCTGTGGCTGCCCCATCCCTGGCAGTGCTCAAGGCCAGGTTGGACACAGGGGCTTGGAGCAAGCTGCTCCAGTGGAAGGGGTCCCTGCCCGTGGCAGGGGTTGGAGCTGGAGGAGCTTTAAGGTCCCTTCTAACACAAACCATTCCATGGTTCTAAGCTTTTACACTCACTCAATCCTGCATCTCTGTTTTGCTGCAGATCTGCTGTCTGAAGATACCATGGGCCCCGGGGCCAAGTCCCTGCCTGGCCCAGCCCCGCACGCACCTTGCAGCCCTCACAGGCGTGGACGCCGTAGTGAAACCCCGAGGCTCTGTCTCCGCACACTCTGCACTCCACGCTGAGCGCTCCCAACGCCGCCTCCTCGCAGCCCACCTGCAGTTGGTCCGACAGGGAGGGAGAGGAGCTCTGCGAAAGGTCTGCAAGCACACAACAGGTACATCCCTTGGGGCTGCAGCCACAAACCCACTGTTCTGTCCAACTGGGATGGCCAGCACTGTCCCACCCTGCCACTGGCACTGCAAGTGGGCAGTTAACGTCTGAGATCAGGCACTGGCTGCAGGCAGATGCCAAGCACAGAGCCAGAAGTGCCCCCAACGTGAGAGACATCAAATCAGTGCTGATTTCTCCCCTCTGGCATTCGTGTCTAGGCAATGAAATCCAACCAGCAATGTTATAATCCCCAGTTGGCAGGCAGTTGGCACAGGGCTGCCCAGTTGGGATGCCCAGGGCTCTCGAGGAGCATCTTCAGCAGCAACAGATCTTCCCACTCCAGCTCCTACAATCAGTTTGTACTGGGGACTTCAGGAAGTGGCACCTCAGGCACCCTGGGAGTCCCCTCACATTACCTCCCTATCCTTTTAGCTTCCATCTCCCAGCTCTCTGGCAATGGCTGTGCAGTGACTGCACAGAAAGAACTAAGCCTCTCCCTAAGCTGGCTCTCGATGCCTCTTTTCATAAAGGGGAGAGATTAAAAACAAGCCATCAAACCCTGTTCAGGGGCAGGTCCTCTGCCCTTGCAGCTGGGCATGTGGGTGCCTGGATGCTCCCAGGGCTCCACCCACCTGTGTAGCTGCTCGAAGGCAGTGAGCTGTCTGGTCCTCCACTTGTGTCTGAGGCTCCGCTTGCCACCATCACTGCCTCTTCCTCTTCCTCCTCCTCTTCCCTGACCTCAGGTACTTCCTCCTGTAGTTGTTCCATAGTTGATCACCCCTCAGTGCCAAGACTGCAATCGCTGTCATAGCTCTGGCATCATCCGCGTCTATTCGAGATGGACCCTACCAGGCTGTTCCTGTTAGCCTGTGGGACAGAGAAGAAAGCACCCACTGAGCACCCCAGCAGCAGGGCAGTGTGGCACCACACCGTCCCCCTCTGCTTTCCCTCCTTAACCCAGGGAGACAAGCAGCACCTTTAGAGGTCACTTTACACTCGGGTATAAGCACTCTGCAGGCCTCTAGGAAGCAGAAGCTCCCTGGAGCTGTATTTAAAGCCCAGACCACAAACCAGCCCAGGCACCACGCAGGGACCTGGAAGTCCCACAGCAGGAACACTGCCCCAGACAATGTCCCCCTGAGCAGCCAGCACCCTGGGGTGGCACAGTGGGAGCTGAGGCTGGTCTGACAGCACCAGCACCACCAGAAGGATTCAGATAGAGCTGCCTTCACCCTCCACCCCCAGAGCTTGGAGGGGGGGCAGCAGCTGAGCAGGGCACAGCAGCTCCATGCCCATGGGTGGGAGATGTTGGCAGAGCCAGGCTCAGTTAAGAGCCGACAGTGGCTGAGAGCCCCTGGCCTGTGTGAGCCATCTGCAAGCCTGATGCTTCCTGTCACGCTCCTTCCCATTCCAGCGCTGCCAGTTCCACCAGTTGTGTTTATTTCCACTTGTCGTGTTGTAACTGGCCTTGGCTCCAGTGCCAAGAGCTGGGCTCAACGTGTGGCTGCTGCTCCGAGCAGCTGCTGGGCTCTGCTCAAGCAGTGTGATCACAACAGCCACACAATCCAGCCTGTGTCCCAGTCCCGGGTTTCCTGTGGGGGCCCCCCCTCCTGCACGCTTCCGCTCCTTGTTTGCCTTAGTCCCTCCCAAACAGCCCACAGAAAACTCAAGCTGTGTGAATGGTGCATCCCCAGTTCCCATCTCCCTCCTATGGATCCATGCTGGATCTTGCCTGAGCATCCACCTCATGCCTCTACATCCCAGTGCTCATTTACCTCCACATCCTGCTTCCTAAACTGACTCTTGCTTTAATTAATACCTCAAGCCCAGTTTATGTGAAGTCACATCCAATTCCTAAAAGGAGCTATTTTTAAGTGGAGAAATAGCCACTGAAACCCATTTTCCACCGGGAAAGCCTCAATTTGCATGAGTTAAACTGATGCAGCATCCTCGAGCCCACAGCAGAGGGAATGAGTAACCTACTCCCAGGGAACTCACACAGGATCAACCTCCAAGCACCAGGACAGTCTGTGACCCATGCCCAAGCCAACACCACAGCACTGGGCTTGACAGGGGATAGGAGCAGTGACCCCAGACTCCCTGGGCTCACTCTCCCCCTGCAGCATAGCCTCACATTGGAGCTTGCGCCACAGCCAGCTCCTTGGATTCATTGGAAAGCCACCAGCAAACCCTGCAAGCGAAGGCTGAAGGCAAACATGTCCCAAAGCCAGGACACCAGTCACCTCTGGAGCCTGGGGCTCCTGCAGGAGAGGGGCTTGGCTCTTCCCCTCCACAGTGGGAATTCCAGGTGCAGGGCAGATGGCTTTGTTTCCATGAGAGCTGTGCTAGAGGCAGCCAGAACCCCTCCAGAGCAGGAGCAGGAGCAGGAGCAGGAGCAGGGGCAGGAGCAGGAGCAGGAGCAGGAGCAGGAGCAGGGGCAGGGGCAGGGGCAGGGGCAGGGGCAGGAGCAGGAGCAGGAGCAGGAGCAGGAGCAGGGGCAGGGGCAGGGGCAGGGGCAGGGGCAGGGGCAGGGGCAGGGGCAGGGGCAGGGGCAGGAGCAGGGGCAGGGGCAGGGGCAGGGGCAGGAGCAGGAGCAGGAGCAGGAGCAGCAGGAGCAGGAGCAGGAGCAGGAGCAGGAGCAGGAGCAGGAGCAGCAGCAGCAGCAGCAGGAGCAGGCAGAGGGGTGCTCAGACAAGGGCAGAGCACTCCCTCCCTCTGCCTCCACAAGAGCACTGAGGGACCATTGAAGGGCTGTGTTATCCTTGGCCTCCTCTCACACATCCCACACAGTGGGACACGGCAGGAAAAGCAATTCATGGGAGACGGAGGGAAACGAGCTCCGTGGGTCTGAAGGCTATATATAAATGAACATACAAACATCAGGAAAATGCTTGTGCCTGGAAGAGCAGTTAGTGAGGGAAGCTGGCGGCAGGAGAAACTGGGCTACAGTGGAAAACACAGCCTGCAGCAGCTTCGTGAGCCTCTTAGCAGCTCTCTTTTGTCTCTGGCACCCAGCACAGGGCACTTGCTCTAAACCCAGTGCAGATGAAGCCCTCTGCTTCACCCCAACTGCCATTGGAACAAGGTGGACACAGCGCATTAGTGGCATCCCTGGCACTGTCCTCCATCCGCCTGACCTACCCAGGGCTGTGCCCTCCCCAGGGTGGCAGCAAGCCTGCAACACCCAGCTTACAGTGCCAAACCCACCAGAGCAACCCCAAAACTGTGCTGGGGTCAGGGTGCCTGCAGATGGGTGTGCAGCCCTGAGAGGGGGGAAAGCAGAGGGTGCAAGGCCAGGCTCCAGCTGAACTCCCCATGTAAATACAGGCATTAGGGGAAAGAGAAGGATTTGGATCCCACCCTTTGAGAGCAGACAGAGCGAGAGAGAGAAAAGCTTCTACCAGAAGGCTCTGAATGTATTGTTTTAGTATCTCCTTGCAGGCCAAGAGTGCAGGGGCCTGGCCAGAGGGAAGCTGTGAGCACTGTTTGCACACCTGCCCTTCCCTCAGCCATTCCCCTGTTTTCTAAACACACACAGGGAGGAGAGAGGGGAAACGGGACTGATTCCACACAGGAGGCTGCACCCCTGCCTTGGGGCCAAGGCAGCCACCGCCCGGGTGAGAGGCAGGGCACAGGCTGTTCCTGCACCCCCCAGCATGGAGCCAGCCCTCCCCTGTGGGCCAGGGGCAGCACATGGAGGCTGTGGGGCTGGGCTGAGGTTTTACACACACTCCTCTGCTCCTGTGAGCCCTGGGGTGCAGAGGGGGTTGGGTCCTGGGAAACCAGAGCTCCCCAGAGGTTTGGCTGAACTCTGAGCAGGGGCACAGCCCTGCGTCCTTGTGGGATGGTGCTGGGAATGGCAGAGGATGGCCAAAGGGCCCATCTCAGCCCCAGAACCACCCCATCCACTTGGTGCCTTCACATCCAGCTGCAAAGCAGAAGGAGCCAGAGGAGGGATGACTGTCTCCTCCCCTTGGCTAAAAAGCACCAGCCAGAGCACAGCCCAAAGCTTTGAGCTGCAGCACACAGCCACCTCCTTTTCCTGTTCATCAGCTGTTACAGGGCAGCCATGGAAAGAGGATGGAAACAGGGATACGGAATGTGAACTCCTTCCCAAGCATCTCTGGAGAACCCAGCAGAGCTGTTTCCTTTCCTCTTCCACAGGATGGAAATGAGCAAGAGGGCAATCATCTCATGACTTGCTCTGCCCTTGCCTCAGTCCCCATTCCAAGGAGCTTTGCTGAGCCTGGCAGAGGCAGCAGCCACCCTCCTGGAGCCAGCAGCACTGGGGCTGTTTGTGGCTCTGGGCTTGGGCAGATGCCTGCTCCCACGCTGCACACAGCACTGCAACAGGTTTAACTTCACTAGAAGCAGGAGCTGGCATCTATGCCAAGCTAAACCATACAGCAGGAACGGGGGAGAGACATGGCACACGGGGAGGAGGAAAGAAACCAGGTTTCTCTCCAGTGTTCTTGTCCCAGTGCAGTGTCACAAGATGGGGACGTGTGCTCTGACACAGACACTCAGGTGCTGGCAGCCAGACAGCCCCAGAGCAAGAGCAAGGAAGTGCTCGTCATTAGAAAGATCTCATCTTTAACCCAAGTGTAGTTGCACTGGTGGTGAGCTCGAACAAGGGGTGATTTTGGTGTGCTCACTGGTCAGGACACACGCTCCCATTCCCCTCCAAGAGACATCCATTTGTTTCCAATGTATTTACCCAGATGGGATTGCCCAAGTCCCCACTGCAAGCTGGAGGATCCTCCAGTGTAAGATCCCAGCCTGGAAGATGGGAGTTTCCAGGCAAAGCAAAGTGCCAAAGAAGAGGTCCAAACCTCCCTAGGGCCAAGTCAGAGCTGACCCGCTCACAGCAGTTGTTCAAGTTACTGGAAAAGAGATTGCCAGGAATTGCGAAGGGAACCAGTTTACCACAGGAGCACTTCCAGCCTGCGTTTGTATTCCTCTGGATTGGAGTTTTAGCCAAATTCCCAGTCAACAGAATTGAATCCCTTTGGAAGGGGCAAGATGAGAACACAGCCCTCTGTACGCTTCCCGTGACGCACGGCACATCATGAATCCACAAAGAGACATTGAACTGAAGCCATAAACAAAATGGGATTGCTGCTCCTTGGCCATCGCTTGTGGACATCCCCTGGGATGTGTCACAGCTTCCGATAGCTGCAGACCAAGTACCTGTTTCTGTTCCTCCTCCTTGACATCAGCTACTACCAGCAAAAGCCAAATAAGAGCTAAGCAGATGCTGCAACACAGGAAAGGTAACATGAGTGCACCGAAGATGTTTGTTTTGGTTTCTTAAAGATCATGAGCTAATGAGATCTCAGCAGCACTTACTGCCTAAGTGCTTCCTTCCTTACTCACAGGCCTCAAGGTAGACTACATAGAATCACAGAATCAACAAGGCTGGAAAAGCCCCTTAATCCCATCCAGGCCACCCCTGACCCATGGCACTGAGGCCTCGTCTCCACGCTGTGTGAACACTTGCAGGGACGGTGCCTGCAGCCCTGCCCTGGGCAGCCTGTTCCAATGCCTGAGCACCCTCTGGGGCAGGAATTGTTCCTCAGCTCCATCTAACCCTGCCCTGGTGCAGCTTGAGGCCGGTTCCTCTTGTCCCATCCCTTGTTCCTTGGGAGCAGAGCCCAGCCCCTCCTGGCTCCATCCTCCTCTCAGGCAGTTGGAGGCAGCCATCAGGTCCCCCCTGAGCCTTCTCTTCTCCACACTGAACCCCCCAGGTCCCTCAGCCCTTCCCCATCACACTGTGCTCCAGGCCCTGCCCCAGCTCCGCTGCCCTTCTCTGGCCCCGCTCCAGCCCCTCAAGGTCTCTCCTGTAGTGAGGGGCCCAGAGCTGAACACAGGATTCGAGGTGCAGCCTCACCAGTGCCCAGTGCAGGGGCACAATCCCTGCCCTGGCCCTGCTGCCGCACTGGTGCTGGTACAGGCCAGGATGCTGGGGGCTTCCTGTCTGCCTTGGGCACAAGCTGCTCGTGTTCACCTCCATCAATCAGTGTCCTCAGGTCCTTCTCCATAAGCAGCATTCCAGCCACTCTTCTCCAAGCCTGGAGCGCTGCTGGGGTTGTTCAAGTAACATGCAGAAGTAAACTCTTCGAGGGAGCAAGGAAGAATCCTTCCATGTGCCCCTGGCCAGTGTTGTCAGTCAGGGCCAGACTTTCCCCTTGAAGCATGAGCTCAGGCATTGTACCATGCCCCAGCCCAGTGCCATGATGTTCTCCCCAGTGCTGGCTGCGCTTCACCAAGCACGAGCCCTGAAGGCTGAGCAGCAGGGTGCTGCCAGAGCTGCTATTGCCCTCTTGCTGCTCAGGGAACTCAGGAACACGTGACAGAGGGTGCAGGAGATTCCCTCACTTGCCTTGAGCAGCCAAAATGAATCACACATCTACCACATGTTTTAACTCACCCACTTCCTGGACACTGAATGGAAAACAAAACTTACAAAGGTTACAAAACTCGCTGATCCTTCTTTTCCTTGCACCACAATTGCTGCTGTCCACAAAACCAGATCACAGCTCCAAAACGAACTCCCTGCTTTCCTGCCTGTGCTGAGGTTCTTCAGAAAGCAAGAGGTATGGTAAAACCAGAAGCAAATCAAACTTTGGGCAAGGAATTCATGTGCAGAAGGGAGTCTGCCAGGCTGCTCTGCTCTTTAATTCATCCTCCAGGAGCTGCAGGCATCCCTGGCACAGCAGCTCCATAGATGTGCTCAGGATCTGGGAGAGGGTTAATGCTTTCCTAGGAATCAGCCCTACACCTTCCCACTGGAGGGAATCCCTGCTCTCTTCATCCTCTGAGCACCTCTGTAGCTGCCTTTAGCAGAAGGGGTAAGAGGATGGTGGGAGGTGAAGAGCTGAGCAGTTGTCAGCTCTTCTCTGAAGTCCTCCTTCATGACCTCTATTCCATCAATCCCAAATCCCCCATTTCCTTCATCATCATCAAAACCCCCAACAATCCCATCCCCACCCCCAAACTAACCAAACCCAGGCCTTCGAGTGCTTCCTTCCTGAGGCTGCA